TAGAGTCATAACACTTGCACCGTGAAATATGATCAAAATAAACAGTAAATATTAGTGTCTATTTATTGACTAATAGTAGATATTACTGAACCAGAACACAGTTCATGAAAACAAAAGGCAATACACAGGAGACTTGACAACTGCCATCTTTATTTCATGTACAATCAAGACAAAAGACACATCTAGATCTAAAATAACCACACAATACACTAGGGAGCGCGTTTAACGAATCTTTATTTATTTGCGCTGCTGTAGAATCAAGACACAAGACAAATCTAAAGCTAAAATAACCACACAAGACTAAATGAAACGCGTTTTGAATCTTTATTCTCTGCGCCGCAGCAAAATTAAGATAGAAGACATTGTAAGGCTAAATTGAAAATACTGTAACAATATCAAACCCAGTACGCAAATGAACGTGTTTTCTAACGAGTTTATTATAAGAGCCTAAACTAAATATCAAGACAAGACGCACTGAAATGACCCGCAAAAATCTATAAACAACGTGGTTTCGAACGAATTCTATTGCTCAAAGCTGAGTTATTTGACTAGTCAATATGAAAAAGCGACTTGACAACAACCAGCGGCGACGTTTTATATTTATCCTTTGCTTTAAGCTCAAAATAAAAAACAATAAATGTTATTAATCATTTCGGAAATGTTTGTGAGATACGTACCTTTTGAGCATGGGACATTAGTTACCAAATCATTATTTCAAGCAGCACTCGTAACAGTTATAAAGTTAGTTACTATAGCTATCTATTTCACTTTCACCCTATAATCAACTCATTTTGTCCTTTCAATAAACTCGATTTCCATGAAGCCTACGTTTAACACAAGCTCTAGCCCTTCCCGACATCTTTCCTCTGGGTTTAACAAAGAACTAAACCAGTAGCTCTTTATTTCTTTCCTTAATTGTGGGTGGGACATTTTTTAACAAATTCCTCCTTCTTCATTAGGTAGCTTTTAATAACGTTGTTTGGCTTCCAAGTCTCTTGTGTATTACCTTTYGTTTTTAAGAAWTGTTTTGGTTCAGTGATATCTACTATTTCATACAATGAGTCAGTAAATAAAAACTAATAGTTACTACTTCTTTGATTTTGTTTCACGGTGCAAGTGTGATGACTCTAATGTACAAATTCTATGTACATATAATTGTAATTTAACATCGTCATATAAAAATAGAACATTTTGCACTTAGCAGTAAAAAAGACAAAAGACAACGTTTTGCAATTAACTTTTTGCAATTAGTATATTGAAAAAATAATTCACATTATTTTCCTTCTTTAGGGGAGGTGGCTTGTGGAATTGTTTGACTTGACTGAGAGTAATCTTACAACGATAAGTTAACAATCAAAGAAATAGTCAGCTGTTGGTTGGACAATCAAAGTTTGTCTTTTGCATATTTGAAAAAAAAAAACAGTGCTCAATTTACAGAGACAATTCAAGCAGAGTGTTATGAACTTCAACAAACAATGTATTGTTGTTTTGAAATTTTGATATATTTTCTAATATTTTGAAATTGGTCCGAAATTTCCCTGGTTCCAGAGGTTTGATATTTTCTCTCTTGGCTATTGTTTTTGTTGGCGCTCGGCCTTACGGCCTCGATTACGGCGCTTCCAGCCAACAAAAATGATAGCGAAGAGAGAAAATATCAAACCTCTAGGGCCAGGGTATCCTATAATTTTCCCATGTTATTAATTGGCAGGAATACGCAACAAAATAATGTGATAAACTTTGGTATACTGATGGTGGTTTTTGCAGATGACATGAGATACAATAATAATGGCAGCAATATGCAGAAATTATGATCATTTTGACTCAAATTCTCAGTATATATGAAATATATCAGAAATTATGGGATATCACCACCAATATTTTTTTAGTGCTACTGGTAGGCAACTTCAAAAAAATATTGGTGAAGATATCCCATAATTTCTGATATATTTTATATATACTAGGAATTTGAGTCAAAATGATCATAATTTCTGCATATTTCTGTATACTAAAATAATCTATAATATATATAATATCTTTTTAGCGCTGTTGATCTGTAGTTGTTAAATGGCGCAATAGAAATTATTCAATTATTATTATTGTTATTATCAGATTTTTTGAGAAATTCCAGCTGGAGCAAAGGCTTTAAAATCAAGTATTAGATTTTCAGATGGGCCTTCAGGGTCCAACAATAATCTTTCCTCTCTAAACTCTGCCTGATTGACATTGCCCCCAAATGTGAAAATCAGGTTAGTTTAATTACAGCCATATGAACAAACTTGATGATCCAGGAACATTTTCCCGCTTTTGCGAGGGCAGGAAATGTACAGGGAATGTTCTGGCAGAGAACTCTTCAAATTATAGATAAAGATTTCCACTTTGCTGATGTTTTTGATCATGTCAATATCCCAATTGCTTTTGGACAACCAGTGAGCTTTCCAAATCATCTCGTCTTGTCCTTGCTTCGAAATGTCTCCATCATATATCAACTTATCTTTGTTCAAGGAGAATACAACTGACATTGTAAAACTCGGTTTACAATCATTCAACCTTGTAAACAAAATGGACCAGATTACCAACTTATACAGGGCTGAATCATTGTCTTTTATCCCTGGCCCTATACAATAACAAAGGGTAGTACATGATATATCTTTCTGTTGCACTGGAATACAGGCTGAAATACAAGAAAACAATTTCTCAATCCAGGTATATTGGCATGGTATTTTTACCAACACCCTTAAATATTGAACATATGAAAAATGAGCACAAGACTGGGAATGAGCACCTTAAACGATTCAGATTTYTAAAAGTCTGTTTGCACTATTAGAAACAGTATATCTAAACTAGTAGACTGGAGTTTTATTTTTTAATGTTGAATATCGGAATATCTAGAGCTATGAGCATTTGAAACATACAAAAAACGTGATAACGAGGCTGGAAAGGCCTCAATACTGATTTTCACTCAAACATTTACAATCAATTAAACACATATTATTTCTGTTCCGATCCTAAATGTATGAGCAATGGAACTTTCAGATCTTACTAATTATAATATGTTCTTCCAACGCATAATAATACTAACTATACTGTACAACTCATAATATATGACGTTACGATAGCCACACCCTTTTTCATATGGGCTATATTTCTACAGGTCCAAAACTTTCTGATAAAAAGAGGAAGGGAAATTGTGCAATATTTGTATGCATTCTAATCTATTTTTTTCATTTTGGTCCCACCAAACTTTATCTGACTATTTGAGGCCTTCTATTTTTGGACCAAACCTTTGATCACAGATTCAAAATTCATTTGGAAGTTTGATCCTGGAAAAATTGAGTGATCCCATATGCATTTTTTTTACAACTTATCTCTGATTCCAATTCCACCCCAGCCCATCCCCCCAACAGTGAATGAAAATTTCTGGTTAACAACCTTATTAGCAGGATAGTAACGAGGTATATTTTTTGCTGTTGATCCAGACCAAAACTCTGTACATTTTGATCCCTGATCCCCTAACAGAATCATTGAAAAAAAAAACAACATTAATCCCGATCCCAGTTGAAAAACTTGATCCCAGGTTAAATCCATTTGATCCGGATCATGAGCCTAAGTCCTGATCCCTGATCCCATTATAGCCTCTAATTTTCAATTTCAATTTCAGTGATCTCTTTACCTCGTTACTGGCCTGCTAAAGGCATATATTATTATGCTCTTATGGGACAGATGGAACTAGAACAGGAATTAATAGAGAAAGAACTTAATTGGAATAGAATGGAATAGCGGTCATTAGGATAAACATTAGAATTCACATTTCCTTTATAGAACACCGGCCGCTAGGAGATAATTTCCTACCATTATCCTTGATCGACGATGTCAGCAATACATTCTCAGCTGCTGAACTAAACAAATAGGAGAACTTTGAGATGATCACCAGAATAAAACATTTGCAACGCATTTCATTATCTCAAAACGATTGGCATGTCCGCTTCACCAAATCAACACGAAAATTCTCCATACTTCCGACTAGTATTAGTTGCCAGTCTCCACTCCAAGATTCCAGTAAAATCACGTGCTTTTTTAAAAGCAGGAAGTGCGCATGCGTGTACCATAGTCATGCCGGTCAAGATGGACAGAAGTAGTCAGAAGAGGAACTTGTCCGAGTTTCAGGCTTTTTAAGCCGTCAGAATGGCCGACACCGGTCAAGAAAATAGCTCCAGTTTTGCTGGAATAGATCTGTTATCTGAAGCGTTAGGAGAAAGTGGTCTAAATCTTGAAGAACATTTTGATTTTTTTGAAAATGCACCGGCTACCACGCTGTCAAGTTTTGCAGGTCTTGACTATCTTGGTGTGCTAGACAACCTGACTTCTACTCTTCCTAATACAACACCGACAACATTACAGAATTCGTCTATAGTTGAACATGTTCCTGCTGGACAGAATATTGTTGGAACTGAGGATCTTTTCTCGCGAGTTCAACCAATATCAACATTATCTGGTGTTGTACAATCTCAACCAAACGTGGTTTTCTCTCAGCCTTCTCTTGCACTTTCATCCGAAGTCCCATCATCAGCCACTCGCGTTCTTCAGCAACTTTTGTCCCAAAATTCACTGGACTCAAGAAGTCAGAGAACTGCTTTGTCTAGTTCTTCGCCTTTAATGATCGACCTAGCAAGCACTTCTAACCAAATACACTCCAATCAACTTTCTTGGCCGGGAAGTTCACCAAGTAGAAGTGCGCTGTTTTCACAAAACATCTCTGACCAGAAAAGGGAACTGTCCAAAAAGTAAGCACAGCATTTCTCCATTATTTGACTGAATTAACTGTTTCTTTAGATTAAGTCATTTACAGAATATAACAATTATAGTAAAATGGTGATTCATTCATTAATTTTAAAGTAGAACTCGATCTCGAACTCGAACTAAACATTTTTTGTTTTGAGTTTATATTATTTCCGGTTGCAAAATAAATGTACATTACGTGACATTTGTACTATCTATCAAGGTTTTCAAGTTGTTTCGGTCAGTTTGCCGTGATAGTTTCACAGCACCGACTTGGTGAGATTGTCTGGTTCCAGGAAAACTATATTACGTCTAAAAATGAAAGCGGAATTGAAAGTTGAAATGCATGTGCGAATGTCTTCATCACCTCGCAAAAATACTTCATCTAACATCTGATTGTGTACATTAACATTTTATGATTACGTCAGCCTAAAAAACATCAAATCTTTTAATCGTATATGTATTTCTGCTTATTACTATTTTGGTAAGGGATGGTGTAACTCTTGTATTCAGTTCGATCGATCAAGGGGAGTCCCCATTCGTCATAACATACTCTTGCACTTTCCAGAAATAATAATGATAGGAAGAACATTGCTAAAACTAATATCTCAGTGATGAGTTCCTTCAGAAAAATACACTATGTGGGTTTAGTGAAAATTGTACAATATTTGACATATTATAGTATAAAGGCATTCATGAATGACAACATTCAACCATATGATATGCACTCTGTTGCTTTTAACCATTTCACTGAAATTTCATGCACTGATAAGAATTCGGAGGAAATATTATATAAATCAAATAGATTTCATTTTTTGTGTCACTCCAATCGATACAGAGACATCGCCAAAAGGCAATAACAAAACATTTATACCACTCTACTTCTTCTCATATCATTTCTTGTTGTTCTTATTGCATTTTTGATATCCTCTGCATATCTTTTGTAGTACAGACCCACAAAAAATTGGAATCTATTTCTAAATTACATAACTTCTTTAAATTTACAGAGATGTGTCGCGGTTATGGTCCAATGACATTATTATGATGACCAAAAAGAATGAGGTAAGAAAATCGTTGTGAAAATGTACTGAGTGTATAGAAAGCACAGTGACATGCAGGTTCACATTCCCTTAATTTATTAATTCAGACTGGCTGGACTTGTAGATAACATTTTGTTCCTGCTTGCTAGAAGTCAATGCAAGCTCAGACAAAACCTGCTAATTCATTCAAACTATTTTGCAAATGACAGATTTATTAATGGTTTATAACTATAAGATATTCATACCCTGATCATCAAAGCTATAGTTGAACCTCTATTAAGTGACTTGCTATAAGTGGTCAGTATCCATCAAGTTGTTGCTTATTATTTTACTTCTAATATATATGTTAACTGAGCATTTGACCTCTAACACAAAACAGTCACCAGATGGTAACAAGGGGTTACTTTTTAACAGAGGTTCATATGTAGATTATTGATGATCACTTTCTTTATATTTTCCTATGGCTGGTCCCTTTTGTGAACAGAAAGAATATCAAGGCTTTCCCAAATGTAATTTATTTTAAAGCATGCTTAGAAGTCATGTTATGAGAAATGGTTGGGCTGACACAAGTAATAGTAATGTGCCGACATAAGCAATAGTAATGGGCCGCCATGAGCAATAGTTGGGCTGCCTATAGTATGACAGGCCCTTGGACTAGTAGTAATAGAAGACATGTTATAAGCAATAGTTGGGCTGACATAAGCATTAGTTGGGCTGCCTATGACGTGACAGGACTTGTATTACCCTGTTATAAGTAATAGTCTGGCTGCCATCAGGCACTTTGCTTAGTAATCTTAGAACAGATACCCTGTTATAACTAAGTAATAGTCTGGCTGCCATCAGGCACTTTGCTTAGTAGTCTTAGAAGCCATGGTATGAGCAATAGTTTCTTGATTAAAACTGTAAATTTAAAACCACTACAATCTTACACTTCCTTCATATACCAGGCAAAGATGGAGAATGATTTATCAGTTGAACCAGAGGAAGAAGAAGAAGATGAAGATTTAGGATATACAGACACGTATGCTGAATATATGCCTACCAAATGTGAGTAATGAGATATATTCTATTAGAAAACTATAAGAACTACAAAAATGGAAAGAGGACAATGCATTTTAGCAGATGATAAAAATATGAACTTTTATTTGTTACAGTGTCATTTGGGAAACGTCATCCAGATCCAGTCGTTGAAACTAGGTACGTTTTTTGAATTTATGGTTAAAGGCATTTTTCAATGATTGTATTTCTACCATAAGTTCAGGGAAGGATTAAAATATTAACATTTTAACTCTACCATAAAAACCACCTTCTGAAGCCAGGCAATAGTATTTAAATTAAAACAAACAATTATTGCATAATATTGGGTTCTCAATATTAGCCTGTAGCTGTACTTTTGCCGGACTGGTTGCCTATAAAATCTCTGGCTACACTGGAAAAGGTGTAGATAATTTTCCAGAAATCAGGCATGCTTGGGCTTCCTTTATACTAAACCAAGACTTACCTTGGTTTGTATTGGGCAGTTATGCTTACAATGTACTCATAGAATTATAATGTGTAACTTTTATTTTAGTTCCTTGGCAAGCGTTTCTCCGCCCAATATCTGGTACAGACTACAGCTCCCGCAAGATGTTATAGACAGTGCACATTTATCAGCCTTGCAGCTTGAAGCTGTGGTGTATGCTTGTCAGAAGCATGAAACATTTCTCCCAAATGGAAACAGAGCAGGATTTTTAATTGGTAATGTTTTTGGATTACTTTTTATGCTAATTTGTTGAAATTGAGAATGAGAGAATGAATGAAATTGAGAAGGAGAGGAAATGAAAAGTAAGTAAAAAATGGAAAGAGTGAATTAGCTGCTCCAGTTTACAGCTCCCAGTGCCATTTTACATCAGCAAGAAACATGTTTGCAGTGATAGATTATATTTACATTTCTCAATTAGTAGCCATATAATTAGGCATTGGTTATTGCTCACTTAATCATGGATTAATTGGTGAAATTATTTACTATATAAAAACTCCCGCTACTTTTGCTTGAAAAGCTACATGCATCAACTTGATTTTCCAGTAAGAACCCTGTTTTTATGTACATGAGTCCTGTAGTTAGCGAAGGTCTGGTTGATCCTTTAGTGAGGGTTTTTCAAGGGTTTTCTGGGTCTTTTCCGGGTTTTCCTTTCTCAGTAAAAATGAACCATTTCTATCTGCTGTGCTCTGCGATCAGTTGATGTTGTTATGTAAATGAAGCGCCTAGCTGGCAGCACGCCTATGTGTAAGTGTATGTAAAATGTGTCTGTAATATAGCACTTTGACTTGAAAGCGTGTCGAGCTGCGTCTTTCACAATTCAGCACATGTGCTGCCATGAAGGACGATTAGCACCCAACATGCTGAGCTGACTTAAATAAGTAAAGAGAGGATGTAATAAAAGACAAAATAATACTAATGTTGCTAATGTTATGTTTTAGGTGATGGTGCCGGTGTAGGAAAGGGTCGAATTGTTGCAGGTATTCAATTCATTGATCCCATCTTTATCATGGTGCATTTGTACCATATGTAAGCAAGTTTTCATCCTTATTGGGGATTTTCCAAATCATATAATATGTGAGAGAAAATGTTTGATTACATACTTGAAAATGCTCTATTTCCCCAGGAATTATTTATGAAAATTATCTTTTGGGAAGAAAAAGGGCAATTTGGTAAGCATGCAACTTGCAATATGAGCAATATACACTAAGAAATACTTTGTTTATTAGTCAAGATCGAGAGTAAAAGGCTTTAGAGCAAACGCAGGAAAACCATGCAACAAAATCAAACTAAATACTAACTAATAGCGGCTATTTAGAGAAAGTTTGTTGGTATCAATGAACCAGAACACAATGAAGATGAATTCACCATTTTTCATTCATCTTTATTGCTATTTGTTAGTATTTAGTTTGATTTTATTTCATGGTTTTCCTGCGTTTGCTCAATAACAAATGAATAAAGTAATGATTTACGTATATTGCTTTCGTTTTCCAACATTGTTTCTCGTAAATTTAACCATTCTCTAATAATTTATTCTATGCATCTTTTTAGGTTTAGTGTATCAAATGATTTAAAGCATGATGCGTACAGGTATGTAAATCTTGTCAAAGTAAATGCTTTTTTAGTGTGAACTCAGTTCATAATGTACCTATTTTTTGTAAGAAGTAATTCTATAATTATAGTTGTTAATAACCATTCTTCTTATTTCCTTGTATAGAGATCTTAAAGACATTGGCTGCAATATTCATGTTAATTCTCTTAATAAGGTAAGAAAAGACACCATAGCTACAACCCATTTGTCAAGAAAAAAACAATATATTCCCTTTGTTTGTACAACTTACCATTATCTACTCAGATTAATATAGATAAAAACAAACTCAATCATAATCACAATTGCTGTTTTTTTATTAATATTTTTTCTTATAATTATTTTACTATAAGAATGAATGCAAACAATCAGTTAGAAATCATATATCTTAAAACAAAATAAATTCAAAGGAATTGTAACATGACAGGCCACAGGTCATGCCAACCATACATGTATGTTGTGACACAGGCTTCAGTAGCTAGCCTTTTGTATATACAATGCCTAAATTGTTTGTAATGTTCCTGACAATATTGAAGATTGACAAAGGTAGAAAGCAATCAATGAACTCTGAATGTTTACTGAAATTGTTACTGAATTTTGTTCTTTTTAGTTTAAATATGATGTCAAACTGTCTTCAAAATCTCTTGGTGGGATTAAGAAGGGTGTCATTTTTGCAACATACTCATCATTGATTGGAGAAAGTCAGAGTACAGGAAAGTACAACACAAGACTGAAACAATTACTACACTGGTGTGGTTCGGACTATGAAGGAGTTGTATCCTAAACATTATTACAAAATGCACAAAAACTGTAATTGTTCCCCATATTATTCCAAAATATTACTTTTTCCACTGTTTTACAAGTCTACAGCTTCATTTAGTATGTTTTCAATTCTTGAAATAAATCACATATTTGTTAGATGTCTTAACAAACAATAAAATAGATCATTCTTGATGAATGCCATAAAGCTAAAAACCTTGTTCCTACTGGTTCCTCAAAGCCAACCAAGACTGGTCTTGCTGTGCTGACGTTACAAAACAGCCTTCCTAAAGCTAGAGTGGTTTACTGTAGTGCAACAGGTAATCTTAAAGTAATCATTGTAATGGTTGCTTTGCAAAGTGATTATGAGTTGCTTTTGAGTCTGCACTATTATTGAACTATGACATCATTAACATTGAAGAGCTGGAATGAGAACTGTGTAAACTGTGTGTGTAAAAAGATAAAAAGTAGGTGAAATAACTTACTGATGTTTTGGATGTTAATCCTTCGTTGGAGTAAAGAGAACAACTGTGTGCATGTGTGGGTTATCTGCAATTAAAATTAAAAGCAACAAATATTTTATCTTAGTATAAAAGATACTGTTCAAAAGCTGTTTACAGGGAAAAACTTGCTGTCATAAACTTCAAAACTTTGGTTTTTCATAGCAGGCAATCATAAAGTTAATAGTTAAAGTAATGTCTTTGGTTAAGCTTTGCCAAACTCCATATTATGCTATACAAACCAGATTCTAAGTTAATGACTGCAGTTGAAAAAGCTTGGGTTTTACTGTAGTATCTAAATCTGAAATCCATGGTCATGGTCCTACCACTAGAAGTTTTTCCAAAACATTCTTCAAACTCTAGATTTTGACCCAATGTTTGTCGACTGATTTTATTTTTTTGATTGATCATGAAATTGCTTTTGTTTCTTGACAGGAGCGTCAGAGCCAAAAAATATGGCCTACATGTCACGACTTGGTATCTGGGGTATTGGTACACCTTTTAGAGAATTCAATGATTTCATTCAAGCTGTAGAACGCAGGTAATGAAACATCACAGTGTTGAAAAGCATTTTTGTCTTTAATATGACATGACCACATGGTCTTAAATCAAACATTTTCCAAAAATTGTATTCGATGGAAAAATACTTAAACATATTTATTGTATTGAAAGCAGTTTGTTTTTACTATTAGGACTGATTTTTGCATGTGTAAATGTAGTACCCATGATCATTGAAAAAAGTGGAAAAGGACTAATAAGGATGAAAAACCTCAGAACATCTTGAAGTCATCAGTCTCATGGACATTGTGCAACTATACCATGATTGTTGGTTTTCTTTCAAATTGTGTGTTGTCATTTTAGGGGTGTTGGCGCTATGGAGATAGTTGCTATGGACATGAAACTACGTGGGATGTACATGGCTCGTCAACTTAGTTTTGCTGGGGTTGGTTTTGATATAAAGGATGTTTGTTTGAGTGAGGAGTTCATTCAGATGTATGATGCTGCTGTTCAACTGGTAAGTCAGACATAATTGTGGACATTAATTTGAAGATTTTAGAATTGTAAATAAGAGGTTTTCCAATCAAAGCTCAAATATAGATTAAATATAGATTAAATATACTTGACTAAAATTAGACATCAGTCCCTTCACTCCTCAAAGAAGAAATCATGATATATACGTACAGTAGTACACTGTATACAGTTTGGGTTTGACAAAAGTGTGAAATGAAGCCATCATGGTGTATATCAAGCTGTAGGTGGCACACCTATTGTTATTATTGCCGTGTATATGTAATGCACTGTTTGATTTATACTATTGTATTGTGTGCTAGTGGGTTGATGCCAGAGAAAAGTTTGAAAAAGCAGCAGACATGATGGATGCAGACAGTAAGCTCAAGAAGACAATGTGGGGGCAGTTTTGGTCTGCACATCAGGTAAAAAATGCATGCCTTCATGTTGTATTTGTCACAAGCATAAAGAGTTTGAAGCATTAACATTCATGCGTTGGCAGCCCAAAGATAAGGCTGATTGAATATTCATTGACAGAAAAACCTTTCAAAAGTGTTTCAAAATGTTCATATTAAAGTGATAAATGCATCTGAATCACACATGATAAAGATTTGAAAACAATGACTGAATACTTTGTCCTTTTGGTGTTTCCTAGAGGTTTTTTAAGTATCTTTGCATCGCATCTAAAGTCAAAGCTGTTGTAGAAATTGCCCAAAGAGCTATTGCCATGGGAAAGGTGCGTATCTTACTTTCAACATCACTGGTATTGTTTAAAAAAAATTGTTTTGACAATGTTAATCTTAATCAATTATTGTTATTTTTTAGTGTGTTGTGATTGGTCTACAATCAACAGGAGAGGCAAGGACGCTGGAGCAACTTGAAGAGTCTGGGGGAGAACTTACTGATTTTGTCTCAACAGCAAAGTATGTCACTGATATGTAGACCAGAGCAAAATATGAATGATCAAACAAATTATTTAAATGATTATTCGTAATAATTCTTTCTATTCTTGTAGTATTTTTACAATAGCTTTTCACAATTTGATTTTCTCTTTACTTCTTGAATGAATAAATGAATTCCTGAAAAATGAACACAAATTAGAAAAACAGAAAGTGGAGTGAACAGATAATGGACATAATAAAGAATTAATCAGCAAATTTATAAAATAGAAGTTAAATGAATGAATAAATCATTGTCATTCAAATGATCAGTGAATGGATGATTTAGATGAGTAGTTATAAACTGCACTGGAAAAAGGATTCCAGTATTTTCAAGTATACTACAGAGTTCATAAATCATAGGTTAAAGGAGTTAGAAAAGGGTTTTCAATCAATGAGCATTGTCAAGCAAAGTAATCAACTAAGTAGTTAAATTAACAGCTTGTTTGTATTTGTCCTTTCAGAGGTGTATTCCAAACCTTGGTTGACAAACATTTCCCTGCTCCTGATCGTAAAAAAATGGCTGGTCTCCTTGGTCTTGTAAGAGACACTGATTCTAATGGCTCAAGATCAGCTGTGTCTTCTCCTGTACCTAAACGAAAACGAAAAAGTAAGAAAGCAACAAAATTGTTAAAACGAAAGGATAAAATCATGACTTCACTAGGAGAAAGAATAGTACCTTTTATTTTTCTTTAGATTTTAAAAAGGCAAAACCACCAAAAAAGTTGAAGACAGGCCTTGAACGCATATTTGACCGTGAGTACCAAGTTGTGTGATTAAAACTTAAAAACTTAAAAAAAGAACAACTAGTATTTTAACCTTTACAGTAATTGAACTAATAATTATTGATACTCTTGGTGGTTGGACTCTTCTTTTGAGAAATAGTTGAAACGTGTGAAAATGTTATAGATATCATTATTTATCATATAATTATCTATGAAATACCTATATTTCTCCATTTCGTAAAGTAGTGAAAATAGCACATTAGAGGTTTCTCTATATAGTGGAAGCAATGAAAAAGATATTTTACCACATGATTTGCTTCATATGTAATTATATGATAAATAGAATATTACATGGTTGTTTGGAGATATGAATTTTATCTTCTTGTGTTGAAAATCTCTCACTCATTCGCTATGCTCACTCGTGAGAGATCTTTTCAACACTCGAAGATATCTCAACACGCCTATGTAATATACTCTATTTATTAACTGTTATGATTTACTATTATCATTGCTGTCTTTAGTAAGCAGTGATTCAGATAGTGATTCCAATGAAGCCAGTAATGATGAGAACAAAGGAACTAACGACAGCCTGGAGTCTGTAGAATCAGACAATAATGAACAGTCATCTGGTAACGAGTCTGAAGAAGAAGAAGAAGATGACTTTAATCCTTTTGGTGGCTTTGGATCAGACCAGGAAGGTTAGAAGAAAGAAATGTGTACATGTAGTCTAAATGTAAACAATCTAAGTAAAGCAAAACCATATTTTGGTATGTTTAGGGGCTAATTATAATGAAGTTGGCTGGTCCAGTTCAACAGACTGGTTTCATTTGTTTTATTTTTGCTATGGGACAAAAAAAAAAAGAAATGATACTGGTCAACCACACCAGCCTGTTTCATATAATCAGGCCTTTTGACTCAACAATGTTAAATCATTTAACTGCATGTATTATACAATGGTTACATCAGTTTTTTATTCAACAGATCCATGGCTTAACAGAAAAACTAAAAAGAAGAGTAAAAGTAAATCAAACAGAGCGAGTCCAGACACATCAGACCCCGCTATGAGTGCATTAGCAGCTGCAGGACTCAATGTATCGACACCTATTTGGAATAGTTCAATAAAGCCAAGTAAGACATTTAATGGCTTGCCAGATTTATTACCAGCAAGAACATCCAGCCCAACCTCCTTTGGAAGTAGTAAGTGATGATTTCAATATGTGATTTTGTCTTAAATCATAGTTTGAAGAGGAAAATGGTTAGGAAGCCTTTTGTTGTAGGTTTTTGTGCACTTTTTTCCAAGCGTGACCATACACAATCTTTTGTTTTAGCCATTGGTTGATTGATACTGGTCAAATCTGAATGAACAAAAGTTTACAAAAGAAGCACAGCAAATGGTTTCCAAACCATTACCCTCTATTAATTATGCTTTTTTTATTTAAAAATATGTTGGCTTTTAAATAATCACTAATAGATTCCTTTTTTTCATTCATCTGTACTCTAATAGATACACAGATGATCTCAAAATGTGATGACAAAGAAATACTGCGTGTTTAATTACTTAATTAAATTTTTCAATACATGTCTCTTACTGTATTTTCACAGAAAACCTTTTACAAAAAGCTCAACTAAACATGCACCATTCTCAGAGTGCACCAGTTCTGTCATCTCTTTTACAATCCTCAACTGGTAGTCCAACACAAGGGTCTGCAAGTGATCAGTGTTGTGCTATGAAGAAAGAATTACTGGAAAAAGTAGAAGTTCTTAGTAAACAGTTGCCACCTAATACCCTGGATGAACTCATCGATTCCTTGGGTGGACCAGATAAAGTCTCTGAGGTTTGTTGTATAAACTATTAAATTATAATAATGATTGGGTTGTAGAAAGGTTAGGCTCAAATCTTGGAATATGAATTTTCAGAGCTCAGAATCATTGGGGTCAAAATTTATATAGCTTAGAATGCTGCACTCAAACTTGTTTGTCAGAAAAAACGTGGAAGGTTTGCGGCTGGACTTTTTACTTATAAAAGCTCAGATTGTAAAACAAGAGGCTTGTTTTTACTCTGAAATAATAAACTTGAATCTACACTTGTGGTGCTTTCGTAAGTGGACATGCAGCTCTCATTTAGAACAGCTAAACCCCCATATTCCTCCCATTCAATCACTTGACTTCAATGGAGCATGGCCGTATAACACAATATGCTATCCTCTATAGATGACTGGTCGTAAAGGTCGTGTCGTTAGCCATGATGATGGCACCGTCAGCTATGAATCACGCAGTCGGCAAGATGTGTCGCTAGAATATCTAAATATAGAAGAAAAGAAGAGATTTATGTGTGGCGAGAAGGTAGGAGAAACATTTACAAGGGACTGACCATTTGGCTTTGATGGGAGGGGTGGGGGCTTGGATGTTTTTGAAAAAGTCGAATAGTCAGTCCCTAACTCGGCTTGGGGAAAGTTTATCAGACCCCTTATAAGTAGAGTTATTTGCTTTTTTTCATTCATATTTATGTATCTACAAGGTTTTCCATTTTCAATTTGTCTGAAATATGACAAATATTGCCCACGCTTTGCAACTATTGAATGGGTTTTCATAAGTTAACTATTAAATGAAAATATGCCCAAATGGATGGGTGTAATTGAAAGAAACCGTATACACTGAGAAAGCACCCTAGGGATAACATCAGGTGACCGAGAAACTTCTCCCTATTTTAATTTGTATTTTGTTCATAGTTTGTAGCTATAATTTCTGAAGCAGCCAGTTCTGGAATATCACTTCAAGCAGACAGACGAGCACAGGTAACTTACATAACGTACAGAACTGCTTATTGCTGTCAGTTTGTATGATTGTAAAGAGGTCCACAACTTCATATTAAGCACAGCAACATCGCATCTGCGGGCTGCTGAATACGCCAATCCTTATAGTGCGTAGTCTTTAACAACATTATTGTTATTCTAGAATCAACGACGAAGAGTCCACATCACTCTGGAATTACCATGGAGTGCAGACAAAGCAATACAACAATTTGGTATGTTCATTTACTATTTTTCACTTGTCCTTTGTGATCACTTATTTACAAATTATCGGTATTTTTCAGGGCGGTCTCATCGGTCCAACCAAGTAAGTGCACCAGAATACATCTTCCTCATCTCAGAGCTTGCAGGAGAGAGACGGTTTGCCTCTGTTGTTGCTAAGAGACTGGAAAGCTTGGTAAGTTTTTGGAAGAAGATATGCATACTCAGTTACTATCATCACAGTATTCATGTTGGATATAGAAGCTGTTTTTGTAACATTTTCTGATTGACTTCTTTACGTATCGTATTGTATGACTGGCTTTTTTCCTGAGATTATATATATCATCATAGTTATTAACTATGATATCATGTCATAAGATTTACTCATCAATCTATGATACCCGATTACACCAACCAATTGAACGTGTTAAAAAGTTTCTTTGGCTACGTTCACACGGGGGCGGTTCCGTTCGGAACCGTTCTAGTTTAGGCTCGCGTTCACACTGAAACTCTGGAACTTGCCTCATCTGAGGCTGGCAAAGTGTTCAGGTTTGGGGCCGGCTAGAAAGCCGTTCCACTTTGAGGACAGGTCGCTTCGAAGCATGAACGGATCCGTGTGAACACTGTTTCAGTCCGTACCGAAATGTGTAGTATTTCACCTAACTACTGTAACTCAAAAAATAATCAGGGATGTCATCATCAACGCCTATTGATCCCCATACTTATATTCTTGCAGGGTGCTTTAACACATGGTGACAGACGAGCTACTGAATCACGTGATCTTAGTCGCTATAACTTCGATAATAAAGTATGTGCTGGAATACCCTTAGTTTTTCACGATAACTGTGTGTTTTTAAGCAGGTTTTAGCAGGTAATCTGTATGATAAGTGAAATACTTTAATATTTTTTAGTATGGACGTGCAGCTCTTGAAGCTGTCCTCAAGTCTATTTGTGGTCACGCAACTCCTATGGTACCACCACCATCAAACTACAGTGGAAACTTCATAAATGGTGAGTTAATACAGACTTATAGTCTGCTACTTCACAATCTGACATCTGGAACTTAAACTATGAAAAACGAGTGTGAGATTGAGTCGCGAGTACAAGATTTCACTGACATATCTCGTACTCTCGTAAAACTACTATGTTGTTTTGGTAATATGTCCATCTTTTTTTTTTCTTTTTAGATATTCGTGTTGCTCTTGTTGGCGTTGGGTTGGCAACAAGAGATGATCGAGGGATATATAACATACTAGACAAAGGTAAGGAATCTTTCTTCACTTACAGTTTCCTCAATTTGTGCTCTGCGTAACTTTGTTTTACGGCGATTAATCCAAAGCTCCGTAGGCTTTTAAATATTTAACTGGCCCAGAATTAGCGATAATCCATAAGTTTTTAGGAGGTATGCTTGGATGACTGCTTTGAGCAGCCCTGCAACGTGGAAAAATACAACTCGGCTGCGCCTCGGACTTAAAAGTGATCCCATGGACTTAAAATGCAATATTATTGGGCTCAAAACATTGCGTTTCACTTCTGTTTTGTTTTGTTTCCTAGATTACACCAATTTATCTCGGTTTCTTAATCGTATACTCGGTATAAGTGTCCAACTTCAAAACCTTTTGTTTGGTTACTTCATGGACACTCTTGCAGCAATCATTCTACAAGCCAAGAGAAGCGGCAGATGGGACGAAGGAATTCTTGGTAAGGATGTTAAACAATTTGCGACTAATTAATTGAGTGAGTGGGTTAGTAAGTGAGGAACTGATTGATTGCGTTGTTAATTGGATTGATTGATTGATTGGAGTTCTGTTCTTAAAGACCTTGGATCCCAGGGTGAAGAAGTCACTGAACTAAGCGTTCAAACGTTTGTTGGAAGTAAAACGATCGGTACAGCCACCACAGAGCTACACACGGTGAGATGACGATCCTATACTAATACCATGTCACCTTGCTTGATTCTAATTTATAACCCTGGCTTTATAGGTCAGCGTGGAGCGTGGAGCATCATGGGAGCACGTATTTAATCTGTCATTAGATCAAACCGACCCAAATGAGGGATTTTATGTATCACATACGGTATGGAGTGTTTCATCTTTAGTCTTCTCTCATTGTTTTTCCACGTTTGTCCTGTTTATATTTAATAACTTGTTTGTTATTATTTTCAGGTCCGTAACGACAAAAGGACAGCAATCTTTGTTGTGTGTCAAAAGAAAAAAATGTACGGCATTTATCGACCTAACACAGGACTACAGACTAAACATGAAAGTATACAAGATATCAAGAAAAAATACAAAAAGGTAAGACAACTTCCTTTTACCGTATCATAAATATTAAAGGGACATGGTCCACCAGCATCCCTTTTGAGCTTTTGCTCATGTTTGAAAATAAAAAACATCATAATATAAGCAAATACGTATTCTTTATATTCGACCTTCGAACCGATGAATGGAAACGGATTTTGAATAGATATTCGAAATCACCTCATTTTCCATTCTAAAAAATCTAAAACACGATCGCATTGAATGCTGGTGGACCATGTCCCTTTAACTACTGACTCAGATATCCTAGGAAAGTTTGGGAAGAGGGCAATATCTGTATAGAACCCTTAAATTCATAATGACCCATGAAATACGAGGTATAAACACTGCCAAATAGCAAAGAAAACAAACATGTAATAACGTACCGTAAAGGCTTAAATTAATTATTAAATTATTAAAGGCTTTAATTATGTGTTATCAAATATATTTTAGAAAGTAGCTTTCTTCCCAATTTTTGCCAGATTTACCACATTGTTATCATTCTAATCCAAGGTAACTTCAATCGAAGCCAAACCTTTCTGGCAAGCTCAGTATGAATCATCGTTTTCTCAATGCAGTCACGCCTACTGGTAAGCATATTAAGGGCTAAGGACCATCAAATGTTAGCATCAACCAAATTGTAGACTATATCACAAATCTAGCTATCGCAATTGAAGAAAGTGGGAAAATGTTTTGTCTTTTCTAAAACAATTAGTTAACTCGGTCTTTTGCAAGTGATATTACACCATTGCCAGATTTTCTGCATATTGACAGAATTAGATCCGAATGATCATTTGAAAACTTGTTGGTGGTCATACTGTTACAGGGTTTCAACTTGTATTTTGTAACATTTGATTCATTCTCTAATGAAGATGACGTTTTGTAACATTGTCACTCTGAAGGTGCCCGCTTTGGGCGCTGAAATTCTCTTGGTTGATGCATCTGAATCTAAACTTAAAGCAAAAGTGTGATGAATAACGAAGGCAAATGATGTGTATGCTATTCATTGGTTTCAAAACTAGATTTAGGGATGGCATAGGGTTAAAGTTCACAGTTACAACAATATACATCCGGTACATTATTGCTTTTACAGGAAAGGAAACTGCAAGAAAGCGACTGTAGGTTTGACGTGTGAGGTTGGCCTCAGACGTCGGTCTTTTAATATTCTAAGTGGATCTGTTCTAAGTGTCTGGAGTAAAGTGGAAAGCGTTCTTGCAGGACAGCCTGGGCATAATTCCAAAGTCCAGATTATTCGGTGTAAACGAAGCGATGGTGGAAAGATCGTTGGTGAGTGCATCTTAATAACATGATCACATCCATCTTAATAACATAACCACCATCGTCATCATCGAATCTAGGTCGGGGCGCCATTTGTGACCTAATTTTTTTTTCGTTCTCTCCCTTGCTTCGAGGGTTTTTCCGGGTCTTTTTCGGTTTTTCCTCCCTCAGTAAAACGAACCATTTCTATCTGCTGTGCTCCAGTCGATGTTGCTATGTAAAGGAATTGAGCACCTGTGCTGCCATGAAGGACGATTAACACAAAACACCTTTTTTTCCTTCTCCCTTTTCCATTTCCATTCTCGGTAATCCCGTGGACTGCTAAGTTAGGGCAGTCGGAAACCCTCCCCTGAACCCCGCTTAAAAGCCCGTTTTTTTTCTTTCTACTCAAGCGTCATGAACAACACCATCATTAACATAATAGGAAATATACAAGATGGGATTATCATTACTGCAATTTCATGGTTGCTCTTAGCCAATTTTCATTCCTTTGTGGGGAAAATGTATTATGCCGAGGGGAAGGGCTTGTCACAAATTTTTCAAGGCCCCGAAAAGAATTTATTTTTTTTTCAGAATATTATGCCCCTCCTTTCCCCCCTCTTTTCGTGTTCATTTCATTCAAGTTCCCCCTTATGCTGCTCCATTTTTTTTCGTGGGGATCCCCTTCTCAACATCTTCGTACCGCCCCCCTTACCCCATGACTTGCTCAAATCAGTCGCCGCAACATCTCAAACACTGCCTTAATAGACTGATGGGCAGGCTTTCTCGAAGGGTGAGGGAAGGAGAGACAAAACTTCTCCCCCAATCTCCTTCGAGTGAGCCTCATAACACCATCTTCTCTCTTCGCTATGGGTTCCATCTTTCATCGGATTTCAACATTTATAATTTTCATTTCAGGATGTCTTATTCCAAGTAATTGTGTCCCAGCACTTGCGCGGGCTTTGTCACCCAGTGAAGACGGACAAACAGAGACTATCGAGATATTATAGACGTTAAACCAGTTATAATCTTAATCATTCTAAATCTTGTTTGCTTTGAGGGCATTCTTTGTATGTATCAGTTGTGTTAAAATTATGATATCGAGAAAAATCAAGAGTTCTACCAAGATGTTAGTATGCTTACGATATATGTATCAAAGTGAGGCCCAGGGGTGCGAACCGTTAATAGTTTAAGCATTACATCCGAAAGCCTCGTTAAGTTCCTATACTTCCTGACTGCTAAATATGACATATTGAAAGTAAGGTCGGAGTGAATATCCTTTTACTGCAAGACAAAAAGTACTATTTAGACCTCAAAAGAAAAAAAAATGATTCAGTGAACTAGCAACTGTTGGTTCTGTCAAATGAAAATCGCTCTATTTAGGCTTAAATATCGCCATGCCAATTGCGCTTGCCAATTTCGTACGTATTTTTACTAGCCAGCTTCCATGCATAATAGTACACAAGAATATCACTTTATGTATTTACTTTGTAAATAAATCTTCGTAAAAATAATTTATTAAACTCTACTGCATTCATATTTTGCACAGTTAAGGAAATAAAAGTTATTATTGTAAGTTTGATTCAATGCGTCACACTTGCTTTTCGTTAGTTTTTATCGCTTGGATAAAGCAGAGAGCTATGAAATCAGTGTAGAATGCACAAGCGACTTTATTTTGTACAGCAAAGCATGGTGGGAGTTGTAATCCTCCTATTTTTAGCCCATAAAGTATTTCCATAAAAGGTGCTTTCATGTTTTCTTTGGAGACAACACACAGCTATGTCAATTTCTGCAAAGAAAAGACAAAATACTAATTTGGCGAAAAAGTGGCATCATGTTTTTGCCCATTGAATTCTTTTCTTTTGTTCCAGTTTTACAGGGTTTTTAAAACGGAATGGACATTGTTATTGGGTTGGAAAACAATAAAACAACGAAATAGAAGCACAGTAGTACTTTAGAAGGCATCAAAAAGCAGGTTTCGATTTCGGGAGGATGCGTCGGTCGTGAAAAACATTGACTAATGATCAGTCATCCCCTCCTTAGATTTGCTAAGGATTTACTATCCGCTGGAAAGGCATTTTCTACTTGGAATATCCCAAGTTTTATTGCATGCATGCAACAGGTTGAGCAGTATTCCGTTGAAAATCCCCCGCGCATGAACACCAGTGCTCCTGCCTATTTTCGGGGTCCCTGTGTTAGTAAATGAGGAGATGAGTTGGGACTAACTGGAAAATGCATGAATGTTTGCAGAATGATCAAATGATTGAAAATGTGGTTTCTGTATTTATTAGTAGCTGTTTTAACAATTGTAAACGCATATGGAGTAGGCTCAGAAATAACTTTTGACGAAAATGGATATGTATTGTATTGTCCCTGCATGGGTAAGTTCTAACGAAGTTCTTTCTGACAATCAAGAATCATTTGCAACAAAGTTTATCATTAGTTATATTACCTGAGATTGAATATTTATTCATTCTGGAGAGAACCTTCTTTTGGGCCTTAACATTATCTCAATGAAATAGCAATTTTCTACGGAATCTTTTCCTTGATGTCAATATTATCATTTTACTTACAGGGCGATATGGAAATCAAGCAGATCATTTTTTGGGATCTTTAGCATTTGCCAAGGCTCTGAATAGAACTTTAGCTCTTCCTCCATGGAGGACATATGTAAGTTTATGTACAGAAATCTTACAGAGTTAAATAGGGACAGGATTTCCCTGGTTTTCGTCTTGGAATCATGTATTGGAACGGGTGATTTACTCCAAGACAACCGTGAAATGATAGGAATTATTGGACTAGAGTGTCAGCCCTATATTTTATATTGTATACAATAGTATTCATATTTTAAGGATTAGTATTATTGTCTTCATTTTTGCTAATATTTACTTTAGAAAATATAATCCTTTATTTCAATTTGTAATTTTTTCCTGGTAACAATATCATATATTTGACAAAGTCTTGTTTCTGTGGAAAAAAAAAATGATTGATTATTTTGGCTAATGTACCCATCTCTATGGAAACACAATAAAAATTTATCATAACCATGGATATTCTGCTATGAGAAATTATTTGCAATTTGCCTTATGTCAAAATACTAAATTTACAGCTTAGTAATTTGATTCTTTTTTGATAGGTAGGGTAGTAGTACGTCAAATAGTTGTCTATTTGTGAATAAAGAAGACAATCCACCACATATAATTATCTCCCAAATTCAATGACAGAAGAAAGAAATTTGAGAACATCTTGAAAAACAGCAAAAAAAAGATATGTTACTTGTCAAATCATAATTTTTGCAAATCTTCTTTTTTTGCAGAGAAATATACCATTTACAGATTTTTTTCAAATAGCACCATTACAAAATTATCACAGAGTAATATTATTAGAAGATTTTTTAAGAGAGCTTGCTCCAAAGTACTGGCCAGTTGGAAATCGGAAAGGTTATTGTTGGCTTCCCCCAGGCTCTGGAGCAGACTGTAAAATGAAGGTAATAAATTAAACAGTGTTCCTTAATATATCAGTTGTTTTCATGTACACATCTGCAATGTGCCCATACATCTTGGAGATCGTCTATTATCACTGTGCCTCTCATATAAAAAGTTTATCTTGTGTTGTCTTTTAAAACATGTCGTTCGTGATACAATAGGATGGAAATCCATTTTATCAATTTTGGGATGAACTTGGAGTGAATTTTGATGACAGCATTGTTTTCAATATTGGTTTTACTGTTGAAGACTCTTATGTACTGGAAGAATGGCAAAATCAGTAAGTACTTTGATCTGTGCTTATGTCTTAAAACAAGTTGTCATCAGGGCTTGAAATAACGGCCAGTCAAAGGACTAATGTCCTTCCAAATTCGCTAGATGGCCGACCAAATCGGGTTTTGAAAGGGCAGATTGACCTGCCACATTTTTAGACAAATCAATTCTCAATTCCCATAAAAATTTTCTGTTTTGTGTTTTATAGATTTCCACCCTCTCTTCATCCAGTGATAGCATTTAAAGGTGCACCAGCACCCTATCCAGTCAAAGAGGCCAATAGAAAATTACATCAATACCTTGTGTGGTCTACAAAACTTCTGTCACAAGCAAAAGAACTTCAAAGCACAGTTTTACCAAATGGGTCTTATGTTGGAATTCATCTTCGTAATGGAGTTGATTGGGTGAGAAAGAACTGAAGTACTTTTGTTTCAATTTGTGTATGAGTACAGCCTGTATATATAGCCTATCCCCACCCCATCCCTGTGGGAAATATCTTAGAGGGAGAGAGTGGAGAACAGCTAGTACATATAGTTGTTACCTGAATTCAAACATCAGATAAAATGAGAACTAGGCTGGCTGTATGTGCAGGCTAAGGGTACCATTAATGAATCAATTTACCCAATGATATGTTAATTATTATCAATTTAAAATTTACTCTCAGAAAAATGCTTGTGGAAATGTAGAAGGAATGCACAACTTTATGGCATCTCCTCAGTGCCTTGGTTACTCTCACTACAATACTGTTACCAAAGAAATTTGTTTTCCTTCTGAACAAGAAATCTTAAAAAGAACTAGAGAAGTTGTTCTCAAAACAAAAGCGAAGTCTGTCTATGTTGCAACTGATGCTAATGCCATGTTAACACAACTGAGAACAAGTCTTGCAGATCTCAAGGTGTGACATTCATAAATTCATTGTCTTTATGTGATATTATAAAGTTTGGTTACTCCTCTTTTGGGATTCCTTTGTTCATTGGCTGTGCTCCCCTGGTATCAAGGTTATCCCAATAAAACAGGAATTGTGTTTGCTCATCACAATATATTTTTTTATTGTCACAGGTTACAGTTATCCATGGAAATCCTTCACTTCCACAAATTGATCTAATAATCTTAGCTAAATCTGACCACTTCATTGGAAACTGTGTATCATCTTTTACAGCACATGTCAAACGAGAAAGAGACATTCATGGTTTGCCTTCCTCTTTCTGGGGTTTTAATGGACACAGTAAATAAGATTATGGAGATGAATATAATTTATGATTAGTACAATACACTTATTGTATACAGTAGAACAGCAGGATGATCATGAATGAATGGCTAATCACTGAATAGCCAACTTTAAATATTTTGTTTCACAAACATGCAAAAAAGAATATTGTAGACAAAACTCTGGGAAAATAAAAGAAAATATTAAGATAGTTTAGTTTTCCTCAAGCTTTGTCTGCAATTCTTTTGTACATATCATTACTCGATCAACCAAAGTGTTTTAAGTCAAATATTACACTAGAGTAGGGTGTGGAGCAGATCACAGTACAGGTCCCTATCTCATGGGAATGAGTGAAAATGATCAATAGCAGTGACAATCAGTCTAAAGTTGTATGAATTGGCTACTTGACTCCTCTTTTGCCCTCCTTAATCCTCCTCCTCCTCACTCCACTTTCTCTGTTTTGTAAGAAAGCTAGCCTGCGTAGCGGCTCTAGGGGAGGGGGGAAGGGGGAAAACGGAAGGGGAGGGGGGTGGTGGGCCGCTATAAGAAAGCGTGCACCTAATTTTTGGCTGATTTGCATAAGTGCTCCTTCTTTGGCTTTGAACACATTTCTAAATTCGATTCTAAACTATTGCTGGACAAGCTTTTTTCAATTTTCAAATGCCAAAATAGTGCTAGCCTCCACTGTTGTCAGACAAATGCTAACTAAACAGATTTCTTCTGAAATTATTTTATTTAAAATATTTTATTTGAATACAGAGTATGTCGACTAGCTGCAAGGTCCAGTAGTCTGTGCATCTTCAAGTATTTAAGATCAAAAGAATAATTATATTATCTCAGATGAAAGTCAGAAATTATGAAAGTATTACTGTAAAGATAGTTATTATGATCTGAAAAAAATATGTGTATCTGTTCATCAGACTCTGAGATTCATCTCATTTTTTTGGTCCTATTTATTTCTATGGCAGGGATGTTGGAGCTTTTTTAGCAGGGGAGGCTACTAACATAAAACAGTGATCATTAGGACAAAACAAAAAAACGATTCAATAGGAGTATACTTTATGTTGATTTCTTAACTTTCTTAATTTTTGGAATGTAAAGACCCCCTGTTTCCGACGTGCCTGTATGGGCTTGACTACCTGCCCAAAGACTGGTTAAATTTAGGGTTTTCATGCAGTAAAACTACCCAAGTGACATTATGCAAAGTAAATTTTAATGTTGGGATCCCTGTGGTTTTACAGTGGGTGTAGAAATATTATTCATATTGCATTAGTATACTGATAATATTGCGAGAAGGCTTTTGCTCCAACGAATTGGCTTGAACAGACATTGAAGATGATATTTGAGATCAATATGATGGGGTCCCTGTGTTTGAATAATGTATGCGGCTCGCAATGCATTTCGGAATGGTCTTCAAACATGCGGTTGGAGTGTGGCGTTGTGCCTTGGAAGAAGCCAGGGAAAAGTAAGAATTTGCATTGTTTTAGCCAATATTGGTTGTCTCTATAACTCTTTGGCCATTATAGAAGAGTTAAATACTCAAGTGATGAGGAAAGAATGCATAGGTTGACTGTATTTAGATACAGAATGACTGATTATTTAAGTCTCTGATGATCGTCCTGGCACGTGGGCGCCCAAGTTTTTAGCGGTTCAAACTCCAAAGAAGTACTAAACTTTGCTTTTATCTATAGGTATATTAACCAATGGTTCTCTAAATGAAGGTAAATTATGTACATTTGATAAAATCTTTAGATTAGAACCTTTTAGTCTCGAACGCCGTTTGATTTTTTGCCTCGTGTTGTGTTCGGCGGTTGGCCTGCCTGTGTTTGGGGTGGCGGCAAAAACTCGGTTTCATAAAGGTATGGATATCATGGGTCTAATATACATTCATTTTACCAAGGCAACACGGCGTGAATATTAAGCTTCCGACATTGGGAACAAAGTCCATTCTATGTTCATCCCCTCCATATTTGGTGTTCCAAATTCACTCGAGAGCCGTTTCTTGTAGAAGCTGGAATGATGAGCTAAATAAAACTTTCGTTCTTCTGAAATAGTATGTGTGGAAGTTAAAAAAATAGCTGACCAGCTTTAGAAACTCTATGATGTACAACAGACAAAGACTATTACATGCAGTGTGGGTTTCTTAGGAGAGGGAGACATTGGATGTATTGAAATCCACAAAAGAAAAAAAAAATCAAATCTGCAAGAAAGATACCCAAAATCTGCTAGTTCCCAAATCTGTCAATTTTATGCACGTATCAATTGAAATCCCAAACCCCCCACTCCAGGCCTTAGCGGGGAATTGGAATATGATTGGAATTGTCATTAATATAAAATTTAATTCAGGAGCCTCAGTGAGCAGTAGGGTTTTGGTCCCATGCTGTACTAGTGTCTTTCTGTTTCCCAATCAATTCCTTGTCCTAATACTCTACCCTCCTAGTGGTCTAGATGATATTCTTTGGTCCTTGCATTATTTATTGCTGCCACAGATAACATTCAGGAAATTCCATAAAATATGTTATATTTCTGAATATTCTCTATGTCTATATTTGCTGAACTGCCTTAAATAAATATTTTTTGCATGTGATACTAGAAGCTCTTTTGATATTCTCCCATTTGGATATTCTCAAAATTTCCAAGGTGACACTGAATTGACAAGATTTTATTTTTTGAAACTGTATATATTCATCAACAACTTTTGTTTCTTCTATAATTTTTAGCTTCATCAAATCATGGATACTGCCGAAAAATGGTTCAAATGGGATACCGTTATTAAAAGCACAACATGGTCAGATCACCAATGAGTAATCTGCGGCATTATGACATGTCTTTGTACTAAGTGAATATACACTCACTGCTTTGTCAATGAAAAGTCAGTTTATTGCATCTGTGATCATGAGAGTAAACTACAAACTACCAAAGACAAGATATTGAGACGTTTAACTTAAAAGTGAGTGTGGAATTTTGTCTGTTTGATCCTACCCCAGTTAAATATTTACACTCCAAACTCTTGAAAGGTTGTGCAAAGAGTTTCAAATAGGATTAGCCAAATACATAGCTACTGATTCTAATCTTCATGATAGGGAATCTTTTGTTCAGTTTAAGTTTAAACCTCAGGAAATCTTCTAAGTTCTTCTCTACATAATGTGTATATGAGAGGCCTTCTGTCTGTACATCATTGACCCAGTATATGTAGATCCATATATGGAAGTCATATGACAAATCCTTCTCCAAGCTCCATATGTTGAGTTTCATTGCATAAATTTGATAGGTCAAAACAATCTGCCACTATTATTTGTGATCAAACCAACCCATCAGCCACTTTTCATGGCTGTCCATTTCTTCACTTTTATTGTCGTAACAGTTATTGTTAGGTTACTATTAAGGGGAAGGAGGAAATGAAAATGAAAAAAAAGCTCATGGTAGTGATAATGTTGTTTTTTTTTCAATTAGGAGTAGACTTTAAACATTTCACTTGATATTTGTTAAGAGGCAAAAACATATTTTGCATTGGACCAGCCTTTGGTCATTTATATGAGATTTTCCCATTAGCTACCAGCTGCAATTGCTTTTTTTCAATTTCCTGAAGTGATACTTCATGCTGCTCTTGTTTAGAACATAGACATACTGTATACGCAATTTGGATGAATTTGAGGTTTTTTTCATTTGTGGTATGGTTCTTTGCTTTCAGTCAATTAACCATTAGACTTGTGTCATAAACCTCAAAGAAACCTATTAGGTCTTGAGGTTAATTAACTTACCAATTAACTCCGTACTAACAATATTCCTTGCATAATGGTGTATTTAGACAACCACCAAGTTATTACCCTAGAATGTCCTAATAGATTTACAATTAAGCAATGTTGTTTGTCATAATAAAATACAAAATATATGTCTGGATCCTGGTTTTAATTTGCACTTCCTTGTTCATGCAGTCACATTATCTAAATTTTAAAAACAATAAGGCATGAAATTTCAATAAATAATGTTCGCCTTTAATTCATGTATATTGGAGTTTGAAATTGTTTTTGGTTTTATACTGTAAGGCGGTGGTGTTTAGACCTTACAAATTGACAGCATTGACAGTTTTTAATGTTTTCATTTTTCTAGATTTCAATATTAAATTTACATGTATTCATTATTATTTTTTTATGTGAGGTTCAATTCTCTGTTTAAAATAAGGAAAAGAAAACAAAACCAATGGCCTAAGATCCTATGTGCTCTGTGATAAATATATCCCTTGCCATAACTCTACCTTCAACTGTTTCCAACCGAAATCCTATTTAATTCTACATTGTCAAATTGAATTATTTTATACTGTGCACCGCACAAGAATTTAATTTATACCATGTGAAGTTATAAGCTGGGTTTTGCACCTGAAAAATTAAGAAAATGATGTGCTATGATGAGTTCATTAAATGAATTTCTTCACCTGATTTTAATAAGTGAAGAGAAATGTTTATCACCTGAGCACCTCATCAAAGGTTGTGTTATTTGTAATTTTACTGTCTGATGCTCAAAGTGTTAATTTCTCCTTAGAATATTAGATCCTGAAAATGCAATAAAGTTGATGTCAATGGAGATAATTAATCCCGACAGATGAAGGCCAACGGTAAGCCGGTTTTTTTTTCAGTTGTGGTTTTTTATTGTAGTTTGAATTTTTTTACTGCAGGAATTCCAAAATATTGTTAAAAGTGTAGACACCTTGAAGGTTTGTGGTTATACAGTTAGGTTGGGGTCTGAAAGGATAAAAACAGTGGATTGTATAATTGTAGTTCCCAAGAAAGAAAACATCCTTTTTGTCTCCCACACGAAGCTGCTTTGACATGAAATGCAAGGGGTCTGCACATTCAAATAAAATCCCGTAGTAATTTAATCAATGTTGAAGTCAGATGTCAACTCAAAAACACAATGTATGAAAATGTATTTTCCAATCAATGTCTAAAAGACATCTCAGTTGGATTACTGTTGGAACAATATTCAAACAGTTTTTTTGTATTATGTCTGCTGTGATGAAACTTAACATAACAACTCTGAATTTTTCATGTTGTTAAAAAATACGAGCTTTTTAAATCTGAGCAGGCAAGAATTGTATATGCCATACATTATTTTATGGTGACAATCTAAAAATTTCCAATGTTAAGCTTTTGTTTTTGTTTTCAAAGTGTTTTCCTGTGGCGTTGCTGAATCCTGAAATGATGTATGAATTGTCATCGATCAAGAGACATATTGGTATGTGTTTAGAAAAGACTGAACCAATAATGGCCGAGACTATTAATTTAGAGAGCTTGGTGATGTTCACCAATTGATGCATGTAAAATAGATTGAACAGTAATAGTGACGTGACTGGGAATGAAATTTTTGCCTTTAAAAGCAACCAAATGTATGTCAATTGAAAGTAAGCAGTGCCCAACAACTTGAAACAGAAGTAACTTGACTTAGATTATATGAATATGGCACTGGGAAAAACTGTACAATAAATAAAGTAATAGAAAATTATCTATTTTATTTCTCGACATAAGTTGTCTAATTTCAGGGTTCGTGCTACTCCTTGAAAAGCCCTAGGGTTGAAAACTCGTTATCAAGGGCACTTGAAAAGCACTTAAAAATAGGAAAACACCAAAAAAATATATCCTGGAATACTCCTTAAATTTGCTGTAGTCTGTTTTCTTAAATAAGGGAAATCATTTTTTTTTTTTTTTTTTTCACTCATAGAAAAAGTTCAGAAACTTCAACCTAGAGTCAAAAGTAGCTCTTGAAAATCTAATTTTTGGGCTTTAAAAGTTACTTGAAAGTGTAGTATGAACCCTGTGATTGATGTGCACATATTAAAGGGATTTGAATCCTTGACCTGTGGTCCTGTATGTCCTGGGCTATTGAGATAAACTTTGTTTTTATGAATACAGTCCATATTGGCAAAAGAGCATTGAGTGCTTGCAAAAGGGTTGTAAAAATGAATGTACTTTATCTGTAAAATTGTACTTACCTCTCTGTACTTAAGTAATTTAGTTCAAAGGTGGTTCAGTTCAATGCAGTTTAGTGCAAATTTCTGCTATTTGGATTTTTTTTTACAATTTTGCAGATTTTAAATGCATTCACTCTGTCTCCTGGGTTTGAGTCGCTAACTCAGAGACTCGAATGAGGATTTCTTAGCAAAGTTCATGATCTTGTGCACTCCCTTCTTTCCCATAATACTGCCTTATACAGACCCATATGATGAGTTGCATACTATCGAGGGCCTGGAAGTTACCAGGCTCTTCTGATCCAAATGAAGTCACCCAGAATGCACAGGGGCCATCTGATGGGTTTAAATAATGCATGTCCAGTATTTGATACGATTGATAGGTCTGATTTATATCTTTTCTGTTTAAACAGATGCACAGATGTGAACCAGAATAAAAGCAGTGAAATAACCTGTTTAAATGTCACATACCGTAATTTGCTAGACAGTCAGACAGGAAAGTAAAAAATATGTAACTAAAGTTGAATATATTTAATGATGTTATTTATTATTGTTATCTCTTTCTCTATGGATATTAGAATAATACTTCTTTTAAATCGTTAATTGCATTGTATTCTTTTGTGTTTCTGGGATTATTATGTCTTGATGTTTAGATTTTTATCGAGTGTCTTATGTTCTTTAAGGAGTTCAAAGTATGATTTGCTTATAGAATTTGTTTATTACCAGCAAGAAACAAAAAATATTTGATAGTGAGCAAGCTATTTCTTATTGAATTCGGAACACCTGATGCGAACATTCTTGTTAATCTCTGAAAATTTCTATTGTATTTATTGCTGACGAGGAACGGAAAAGTCTTCACCTTCCCAGAACATCAAATAGGAAAACTATGCATCTTTCTTTCACTTCAAAAGACGATTTTCTTTTGACGCCAGGAATAAGCATACTGTTTGTCATTAAATTATTGATGAGAAAGTACTCTTAAGATGCATTTCCAATTAGGTCAGCTTCCTTGGGTTCTAATGCAAATGGACAGTCGTCATTTGGCATGGTTCTTGTGGCGTTTCTTTAGAGGAATGCGTTTCTGTAAAATGAGATGGTCCGTGTAACAAACAACCTTTGAACTCGGCTCGTCAAAATCCTGTCTGGATAGAATGTCGACGATAAGCTCAAAGCATGATTGGTATTTTGTACTGAAAAACGCTTGAAAACTAATGGTTCGTTTCATTATTTTTTAATGTTAATAAGATTCACAGTGGAATTCGTATAAAGCTTGCGAAGATATCATCAAAGACAACCGCCTTTGTAGTAGATATGAGTTCGTTTGCTACTTTAGATGTATATCGATTAGAGATGAATCGTCGTTGTTGTTTGTGTAGAAATTTTAACACTCGCAGTGCCTGATTCCATAGTTTCCCTCGACCACTAAACGAGCAACAATGGACAAGAGAAACCTACACCGGTGTTCGCGGTTGCATGCAACCTCGTAATTGGATTACTGAATAAAACGATTTGTCACATCGACTTGATTTCAAATTTTTGTCACTGGGTCAAAGGTACGCACAAAAAATACAAACATTTTTCATGGTGATTTTGAGAAATTAAATGTAAACCAATCCTTGTAGTAATTAACGATGATGGATGAGACTCAAAAGGGCTTTCATTAGACGATCCATTGGGTTTTCAAAACACAAGTCAAAAGGTGCCAGACATTCACGAAAATATTTCAAGCTGGCTACCAAAACATTGAGCAGAAGTCCGAAAAGTTCACAGTTGCAAAATAAATTTCTTTGTTCATTAACAGGTACTTTGATAAAGCGAAACGATTATTGTTATTCAAGTCAATTGTCAGGAGGTTTTGTAATTATGCAAATTTTGAATACTAGTCCAGCTTTAAGTCAAAGCAGTGACGTCAACCCTCCCAACTGCCAGTTGCTAAGTGAAATTGTTCACTTTCCACAGCAGTTTTCGACTGAAGGCTTGGCATTCAGTTTCTCACTGAACACAATCCAGTTTGGCTTGTGTAGACTAGCGCGTCTGACGAATTTCTGGGCTGTAATTTGGTGTTGACTTAGCTTGAAGAGGAAAACCAGTGTAAATCCTGATCAGACTTCATCTTCAACTAAACAAAGGTTGTCCGTGTTTGACCAAGCCCCCCGAAAACGACTCGACTTGTGTGTGGCTGTGTTGGAAGGAACATTGTACTTTGCCATTTGAACAGAGAAGCCATGTTATTTGAAATCTGTTTGTCCTCGACGATTGCTGAGCATGTCAACTCAGTTTAATATTCCACCGGGATTAACGAGTCTTTTGGAGGAATTTGTCGTTAAATGCATACAGGAAAATCCTGACGATCTAGTCGAGTTTGCTGCGGAATACTTCACAATGTTTAAAAGAAGAAAGGATAAGAATCAAGCTTCGAAATCTAACAAAAAGGAGAATGAAATTAAGGTTCAAGATGACTTGCCGAGTTGCGAAGCTCCAAAACCGAAGGCAAGAGGAAGGAGACAAGCTGTTTCAGCCGATGTTTACGATCCAAACAAAGAAGCCGACGCGAAAACCGTTCACTACCCGAAGACCGAAGAACAGATGAAACGCTTGAATGAAGCTGCGAAAAAGATAGTTCTGTTCAAGGCTTGTGATGTCGAACAGTTGCAAGAAGTCCTCGGTGCGATGTTCGAAAAGCGAGTTAAGCCTGACGAGATGCTCATAAAACAAGGGGACGAAGGAGACAACTTCTATGTCGTTGACGTCGGCGACTACGATGTACTAATCGATCAGCCCGATGGCTCGAGAAAAAAGGTTTTTACCTACAAAGATTCAGGTAGCTTTGGCGAACTAGCTTTGCTGTACAACTGCCCTCGAAATGCAACAATCGTTGCACAAACAGACGGCATCGTTTGGGCGCTAGATCAGTCTACTTTCCGCAGGATTGTGGCAGGAGCCGCAATGAGAAAGCGAGAAAAATATATTAACCTACTAAAAAAAGTCGATATTTTGGAGAATCTAAAGTCGGAAGAATTAGAAAATCTCGCCGATGCTTTGGAACAGAATATATTCAAAGATGGGGATTGCATAATAAAGGAAAAGGATGAGGCCGATTGTATGTATTTTATAGAGGATGGCAACGTACGAATTACAGTTAACGACGGCAAAACAGAGAAGGAGATCTCCATCTTGTCTCAAGGCGCTTATGTTGGCGAACTCGCCCTGGTCATGAAGCAAACGCGTTCGGCCTCTGTACACGCTAGGGGAAAGTGTAAATGTGCCAAGTTGACTGTAGACGCATTTGAGCGTCTTCTTGGTCCTTGTCATGAAATTATGAAGCGAAATGCAGGAAAATACGAGGAACAGAGAAAGAAACTCGGCCTCGACAAGTAAACATGCAAATTTTGTCACCGCTATAGACACCTGCCAGGGATGATATTTTTACCAAAGCCTAAGAAGGAATACTGCGGAAAATCTTTAAAGGATTTTAGCAAACTTAAGTATCCAGATTGATTAAAAAAAAATAAGAAATATATATTATTGTTATTTGCATATATACAGAATTGTAGGCCCTCTTTGTTTCATTGGAAAGGACGTTAACGATTTCTCATTCTTTGAATTATTATAATTTCATGTTATGTTTCCAGTATTTTGAAGTTTTTTTTTAATTACAAAATAGCATTGAAATTCCAATCAATTTGAAAGGCTTTGAACCAGATGTAAATGTCATAAATCTAGATAGTGATTTAATTTGGAAAATTGATGCGTAGTTTTTGACTTGAAAATTGTACTTTAAAGTCTTCAGTGTTAAAATAAATGTGAAAAAAGGCTTTCCTTGAGAGCCCCAAATAATGTGTGGTTTTATCTAGGAATCGCAAAAGCAAGATTTTGTGGCTTTGTGAGTCTTTTGTTTGATGACACGAGGTAAAATTTGTAATTTAAATGTGCATTGTTGTTGTTTCAAGCGGCGTTGTGGTTTGTGATTGGCTGGTTTCGATGTGTAGTATTATCAGCAGGCACAAGTGTCGTATAATGTTGGACCGTATACAAAGTCGACTCGTGATTGGTTCATTCTAAATTGCTGTATTTCATAGCCATATTTCTTTGGATTATCATTTAGCCACAATATGGGTAAAGAGCTGTAAAGCCTTTGGCAGTCTTTTGTGTACAAAAAAATCGTTCTTTTACGTTCTTTTCAAATTCATTTTCAACCTCCCACGCGCCTGTAATTAAGCCAACTTTTATTTCATTTTGAAAATTTCAGCTTGGGTAAATACGATGCGAGTGTCCGATTCCTATCACAAGGAAACGTTCCAATAATAACTTGATGACGATAGAGGAGATTATGGTGACGGCAGCGGTGAAAGGGTTTCGCAATATGGGCTGGAGGTTTTCTCGATGTTATATAACTACTGATTGTGCCATGGAGAGCAAAAAAGTGATTAAGAAATGAGATATTTCAAGTTGCCGCGTGTTGAATTTAGGTTTTGATGGCAGTTGAGTGAAGACAAGGGTTTTTGAAAATGTTTACAAAGATAACACGAATGTGTCGAAACAACAAATATTTCCTGAAAGATAATCCCAGAAAAAAGAATCGAAAAAAAAAATCACAAATTAAAATGATAATTTAAAGCGAAGTATATTCATAATGAAAATGAAAACTAGGTAATATAAATTAAAAATTGAAGAAAAAAAAACACGTCATTTACATAAATATTAACTCAAAAGTTAAAACGCGTTAAAGAATGAAAAAGCAAAGAGCAAATCTAGGATTCATTTAACAAACATTTGCATATTTGACCCGGCAGAGGAAATGCAATGATGATATGCTATATTTCTTGTATTTGTAATGGAGTGTCTTCAACTATCCGTCAATGAATAATTTATTGAACAGAGTAATTTGTTTAAATGTTTTCAAATCGTCCTCGGTAAATAGAACTCAGTAGTATATCGAAATAGAAAGTCTTTATTTACGAAGACGGTGCGCTTATTGTCGCCCTCGCAAGATATATAATCGTCATCAATCCTTTCACTACATGCGAACATGTCTTCGTCGACGATAAGTGCGAAGTCCAGTCAAAATATCGTTCTAAGATACCACACTTGGGTGTTAGTTTTCAGGCTTCGGGTTTAAAAGCCAACCACATTGGTTTCTTACAGCGGTCGCTATAGCATTTTCACTACACAGTTGGCATGGAACCAATAGTATTGCTGTTTAACACTACGACCCCTATCGAGTGATAGCTATTCAAATGCAACTCTAATGAATACTCAAGCAGAGTAACTTACAGTAATAGAATAGGGAGTTACAGCTGAAAATCTTATCTCGAAATGCCCTTTTTTCTCATTTGTTTCCAAACAATTTTCTTTCCACTTTTTAATGAAGATAAAATCTTTTTTTTTATGTTTTGGTTTTCAATAATGATATATCGACGTATCGTTATAAAGATTTTGAAAGTGTTAACTTAGCAACAATTTGCGATTCATGATTCTAGTTGTCAATCATAATGGATTCTCTCTCTAGCGCAGAGGCTAATGGGAAATGAAAAAAATCCTTGTCATCAATGATCACGTGATTTATGAAATACAAATTACAGCATCGCGATCTCAGTGTTTTGAAGCTTGTTTGGATTAGTGCTTTGCTGCGACTTTGGCGAGGTTTTGATCAGACAATCCATTTTACTTGGCCTCTGAACACAAACAACTTCATCACCATCTGCATTCTGCAGAAACGTCCAAAATTCTCGCAAACGGACTTCAAAATTTCTAATCGGGATACAACGTTTTTTGCTGTGAAATAAACAGAAGTCTCTGATAGCCCTTTGTATTTGCAATTTAGACTCGCAAATAACAACTTGAATTTCCAACGTTCGATCGTGACAGTTCGAAAGGCGTCGTGACAGTCCCCCGCCTGTTTCCACAGGAAGCCCAGGAAAAGAAAGCGAGTTGCCCGCTGAGGAGGCAGAAATATGGCAAAGTCGCTCCTAATGAACTCAATAGAGTACAAACACTAAAAGCGCGTGCAGCACTTTGTACTAATTACTACTCAATTTACAATTAGCATAATTTAGCAATATTCATGTTGCACAGTTTTCAGGCGGTTTGTCTTTTACTTAAGCTTGTTTATAAACAATAGCAAATATGTTTAGAACGGTTATGTGAAAAGATAAATTTAACACCGTAAAAAAGTATGTGGAAAAACTTACTGACGTTTCGGATGTTAATCCTTCGTCGGAGTTCTATGTTTAGAACGGTCAGAAATAACGAACGAAGATTGACAGTTAGACTCGGTTATGTGATTGAGTGAGTGAACTTTTATTTATTTCACAATGTCTATGAGAAAGAGAATATTTATACTGGACCATACTGTAGTAGACAGAAATTTCTTAAAAACAGAAAAACATCATTCGGGCTACAAAACGGTTTTGTCGTTTTGCGTCAATGATAATTTCAAACAAACCGGGGGTTGGCTCCAAAGCAGTTTTATGAGGACTTGTCACATAGCAATACAAAGGACGATCGACTGGAAAATGTGCTCCTATTTAAGTACAAATGCTCTCTTTCTCTATGACAACGTTCTCGTCATGAGGTGATGATGGCTAACTTACCATACTTCCTCGTTCGTTTCGGATATCCAAAATGGTATAGAATTATATTGGTGATTGCTGAATCATAAATCCATACCGTGAAACCCCGCCTTGTGGTCCCCCGCCTATTAGGGCGTCTCCGTTATAACGGCCAGAGTTTTGTCCCGACGAATTAAGCCCGGACACTTTTCGGTGTCCATTTAGTGTCCGGATTAACGGGGCTGCGCTGTAATAGAATGTGTTTTGATATAGCAACGAAACGTTAAAATTACTCGGTGTTTTAGATTTTAGCATGCGCAATACGTTTTATCTCGGTATTGATCTAAAACAAGACTGGCGAAGACTGGCCTCAAAGTGTAATAGCAGAATGATTAAAAGTATTATGGAGCGCCCAAATCATGCATAGCGGGAGTACAACCAGCCAACTGACCCAGTTCCTAGCGTACCGTCATTTTCCGAACTGTCAACCCGTTAAAAACTCATAGATTTTAGGTCGTTGTTTTTGGTGGCTGGTCTTAACACGTGCGGTATAAAAAAGATCACGAACGAGCCCCAGTGCATCACGAACAAGCCATATGACCGCCATCTTGGAATGGATTTGAATCATCCAACATGGCGGCGATGACATAACGTGCAAATCAGATATAAATAAATGATGGCTAATTCTTTTTTCTCCAGCATGCAGCTCTGATTTCATGAGATAGTTCATGAATTACTGTATTATTTTATGTCAATCGTTTTCAGTCTTCAGAAAATGACGGGTCAAGAGAGAGTTCATAAGACATGTGATGTAAGATTCTTTTATGAGCCAAACGTAACAACTGGTATAATCAAGGCGATCTTTACCACACCGTTCTATTGTCAGTGATTCATTCTTCTTTATCGATGTGTTGGTCGATCATCGTGTCGTGAATCATTGCGCATTATTTATTATTCATGGCAAATACTAAAACAAGTAAAGTGTCAAGTCATGTGAACACCTGGGATATCATGAACGCTCAAACAACAACTTCGACTTATTGCTAACACCTCAACCGCGAAGATTGTTCACAAAAACACCTACAAACCAACTAATCTTGCTATAGTTAGTGAAAGGAGATTACTTGGATGAGTTTTGCTCGCAAGAGTTTGCAGACATGGGTACTGGTACTTTGATCTTGCAGGCTTTAATTCTCTTTGGTTGTTTCGGTGGAGTATTGGGGACCTTAAATCGTATTAATATCGTTATAGGTAAGTTAGTAACTATATTTTTGATGTCTCCGCTGTATTGCGTAGTCTTTGCAGACATTTCGTGTAATTTTGCAAAGGTCCGACGCATTATAATTTTGGGTGCGAATTATTCATTATTCCTGAAGCACTTTAGAATTACTGAAAATATCATTAAAAGGAAGTATCCTTCAAAGGTAAAAAAGAAAGGAACGCTTTTTTTTGAACGAATGTTGAAAAAGCTATATCACGAAGCAGTTGTTTTGCCGTCTTCTCGTCGCTTCTCCCCTGGTAGCGTCTTTGCTGCTAATACGCGTCCATGCTGATATCGCCTGAGATTTCCACGTTTCAAAACATAAGGGCATCCATCTTTTATATCAGAAGAGCGAATTATCTTGAAGAAGTTGTCTGGGTAATGTGTCTCGTAGTGGCATTTTTTTTTCCAGATAGAAAAGCGTTATATAAGATGGGAAATTTTTCTTAGATTTCGTGCATTTGGGGTGTCATTTTAGATTTAAATGGGGACTCTTAATGTTTGCCCTCCTATAAGAACAATGAATCAAGTCTATTATTGTCCAATAAATAATATTCTTTTGATTCCCCACATCGATATTTTAAGGTTTTCGTGCACGGGACTGCTTTGACAAGACTCTAGCAGTGTTTTTTTCTCATTTGGGTTTTGAAACACGGGATACATTTCCCATCCAATGTTTTCATAATTTTAATGCAAACACGATTCACCCAAACAAAGTTTCCTACTAAATTACCCAATGGCTTTCGAGTTTTTCAAACGTGACAAAAACCCATGATTTTAAATTTTCATAAAAAAAACTGAATTGTTTTCTGTAAATCAATTTGGTAATGATTGTTTATGGTTTAATAGGAGTTCTGTACAGACAAGATTATGAAGGCCTTACACAAATGCTGAGAATTCTACTCAAACATGACCTAACGGACATCCATAGCAAAATCCTCCCGCCCCAGTACCGACTCAAGCCTGTTTATATAAACGTGGAAGGAAAACCGCTCTTATCAAAGGGTACAGTAAGACTCAATGTTTCCTTGCTCTATCTACCACAAACAATTTTCCCTTGTGAAGGAAACTACTGTGAAGCCCCAGCGCCATTGGTCTGCTCAATGGGATTTCTTTTGCATTAAATTTAGAAAATCTCCAGCCGTTTTAGATCGAGTATCCTCGGTGCCACAAAGAATCACTAACGTTTTACATGACTTTTACTAGTTTATTTGCATTCTGCTATAACTTATGTATAAATCACAATAAAACATCTATGGATTATGGGAAATGGATGTATTTATCTATGATTCAATATTTTCATTGCAGAGGTTGCGTTAACTCTTGAAAAAGCAGTTTGTATCTTGGATATGTACGGCAATGACCCAGACGCCTTTGCGCTGAGTGAAATGTTACGACTACCGCTGATCACAATGGACAGTCTTAATAATGATCCTCCAAATCGCTTCGTGCTGTCAATTCGACCACAATACCCAGTCATCGCCCAGGCTTTGTTTGACATTATACTATATTTTAAGTTTGCTGATGTGGCTGTATTGTATGATGGTAAGTAGTTGTCTAGTTAGAAAAGGAGCTATATTACTATACGGCCATTTGTGTATATATAACATTTTCAATTGTGTTGTCTGGAAATTGTTGCAGAGTACTTCGAAATTTTCAGTCCCATGGGCAATATGCAGCGACGCCATTTTGTGCGACAAAACATGATGGGAGTTCTATTCCTCGCATTTTTCATAGTCCTAAAAAAACTCCCAATAAAAAGCCGTTTTTCCAGGAAAAATTAAACGAAAAACTTATTAAAAAAATTATAGGACATCAAAAAGTGCGATCGCGACTTACAACCATCATGCTTTCTTACACAACATCAAAATCAATTTTCAGTTCGAAAGACACGACTGGCATCTTATTTTTACTCGCTGGCTCGAAGTCAAGATCGTTTTGGTGTACATTTAATGCCTGAGATGGATCTAGATGATCGGAGTAAAACAATTGACGCACTCAAGACGCTCATGAGGTCATATATAACAAACGTCGTTTTGATTTGCGATCACAAAGATATGGCAAACATCATGAATGAGGTATGTTCGGGAATCTTTCGGAAATCATTCGGGCATCGTTTGGATGTCAATTTCTTACATACAAAGTATTTACTAATACAAATTCACCAAATATTTTATTTTATTCCGAGCTGATATCTAATGTTCGTTGATACTTTCATTGTTGTTTAGGCGTTAGCTGTGGGGATCAACAGCCCCGACTATCGGTGGATTGCAAGCGATGTAGTACGTATTTAACTTATTTCATGATTTCATTCTGTACTATCGTTGCCAAAAATGCTAAACTCCATAGACTGAAAAATTAAACATGACATGAAGGCAAGGAAAAAAGAGAGAAAAGATCGATAAAATGGATCCACATTTTTGGCAGGTGACTCTGTGGGAAGAAAGAGATGGGAAAGGAAGAAAGAAAGGGAGAAAATTGACGACAACATTAAGAGCATAAAACGGCGCGGAGAAGTTGTTTTAAAAACAAATGAAAAGAACAATTATAAATGTACGAAAACGGAAACAAAAACCCTTGTCCTGTGCCTCACGGGGAACTAACACCGAATTTAAGATGACTGATGTTGCTTTTTTTCGCCTTGTATAGGAAGTAGCACAAGGCAACAAGACATACTATCCATCTATTCTGGGAATGGTTGGATTAAGTTTGCACGTGACAAACAAAAGGGTTTCAACTGAATATAAGAAGTTTGATGATCTGATTAACATCAATGGCGGTATTCCTGTGGCACCGGTAAGACAAATATATGATGTATGTATAAGAAAAATCATGTTTGCTGAGGTGGCTGTCATCGAGATGTTTGAATGATAATTGTTCATATATCATGCGAAAGGCGAACCTAATAATAGGCCAATTTCGATAGTTTGTTGAATGTCATGCACAAAACTGGGGACTGAGGATGTTTCATCTGATTCAGTGACAAAATATTACAACCCGGGCCTAGAAATTGTTGAACACTAAGGTGAAGACAAAGAATATGTTTTTATTCCTCTTGACCAATCACGAACAGTGTGTTTGAATGATAATTTAACATATATGAAGAAAAATTTGTCAGGGATTTGTTCCAATTGCTCATAAAGGCGGCTAAATACGAGATACATGCAAAAACCATCAACTAAGCACGCAACATTGTTTCTGTTCAAGTTTAGGTTCGATGTTCGATGTTCAACAAAATCCTCTGTTACAAGTTGAAGAAATGGCGCATGCTGATTGGTTGATTTGTTGATTTTGTTGCTTGCAAAGTTTCAATCTCGATGAAAAACGAGAAACAAAGCCAAAATTTGTATCTGAAAGTAGAGTCTACTTTGCGCAACAACTTTCTTCAACTCGCAACAGAGGATTTTGTGCCTCAAATGCTCATTAGCAGCATCAGCGCGTGTTCGGCCATTAAGTGTCTATCAAATTTTTGGTGAGTACCGCGTTAGTGCATGCCTGGTATCTCTATGGATACCCAGCTAGATCCACTCGTGCGGGCTGACGCTTATGTTGTATTTTATACTTTAAGGTGGTGTATGCAGCGATTAATGATTCCCTGTACTTAATCACTCGTGCTATTAAAAGCTTAATAACATCCAATAGATGGGACAGCCTATATCCACCTCCAACCAAACCTTACACAAACATGGTCAGCTGTCCCATGAAGGACGCAAAGTCTTTCAAATCACAAAATACTGCTGGAATTCGGTTGCTTGAGACAATGCAAAAGGTGGGTAATTGCTGTGGATGGAAGAGACGTTCTCTGAACGGTGGGAAGAAAATTGTATTAAGCATATCACGAGACCAGTAGAAACGTATCACTTACTTTTTTACCTTTTCGTTCTCTATTCTTTAGTTCTTTTTCGAACAAAATGTTTTGACATAGGCAAAGAATTGTCCTTCGTTTAGCAGCCATATATGGTAATTATACCTTATTTGGAAGTACGTTTGCACTCTTTTTTGACAATATTCTCAATTTTCAAGAATTTGAATCCTCTGAAACTTGCAGATATTATAGGTAAACGACTTTTGAACAATCGGGTATTTGATTCCATATATGGCATAGATTCGCTAAAGGAAGCCCAAAAGACTAAAGCAAAGGGATCCCGCACGAATGAGAACAAGTCTATCCATCTTTTTCAGATAGGTGATCACGATGGTCTGACTGGTGTCATCAATTTCGACATGAGTGCCACAAATCAGCGTCGCCTTGATATATTGAACATCGTAGAGAAGAATGTTGAAAAGGTAATAAGTGTTCATGAGCTTGGTGGTAATATTATACCAGAACGAACTCAATAAGATCTTTCAATCAAAATATATTTGTGGATTTTTATTTGGATATTCGGCTTCATCTCAAACAGGCGGAATTTCGAAAACAAATTGGAACATAACCGCGGTGCATGTCGGTTGGCTAAAGAAAAATGGCATCTTTTTCCGTCCATAAAAAACTTTTTCCGTCCATATTATTAGAGTATTTATCGTATTTTTCTAAGGTTGGTACATGGAATCCCAGCCCTCAGAACGACGAGGAGTCAGTGACAATGAAGGACGTTAATCCCGTCCAGTGGGTCGGGGATTTTGCAGATCTTGTGAAATGTCACAATCCAGGAAAGCCAGGAAAAAAGTTCGTAAGAGCCAAACGAGTTTTACGAGTCACTACTGTTATTGTAAGTTATTTCTTGTTTCTTATTTGATTTGTTGCTACACTGTGACACTAGAGCATGCGTAATGAGTGAATTGCGAGCCGAAATATCCCACATGGCTTATTACGCTTACTTAATAGTTTTTAAATAGTGATTCCACGAGTCACTTCATTTTTAGGAGCCACCGTTTGTTGAGTGGAGCAATGGTACTATTTTAACACGACCAGTTGCTAACACCAGCTTACAAGGATTTTGCTTGGACTTACTCAACGAGCTCTCAGGGATGTTGAATCTCGACTATCAAATACTTCTAAGGACAGATAATGCTTATGGGAAGAAAGTACAAGGGCGATGGAATGGAATGATAGGAGACTTGGTTGACAAGGTAAATATACCAATTCCTTGAGTATCAGGCCCTCTAAATGGAGATTTTGGCGCACCTTCCCTATCTGGTACCAAATATTGTTAGAAGTTCGAGCGATTGTCGTATCAACGTTATCATTGCAAACACATTCATCACCATCATCAACATCAAAGAGATCACATCAAAAACATAATACTGTCATCAGCATCATTATGAATATCGACATCATCACACATAATGCGCACACTCATTGGTAAAACATAGTTTCCAACCCATCGCGGTCAAAACTCATATCTTTGTTTGCGGTTCTTTTATTACAGAAAGCCGACATCGCTCTCGCCCCAATCACCATATATGCCACTCGTGAGTCAGTGATTGATTTTACTAAGCCATTCTGGGACTTTAGCATGAGTTTGATCATGCAGAAAGAAACAGAGGAAGAACTTGACTTATTTGCATTCGTAAAGCCATTTGATGGAATCGTTTGGATCTTGATTATTGGAGTTGTAAGTATCAACCACACAGGTAACCCAACTATAATCTCATTGTGTGCGAGATTGTGGATGTCAGAGTAGCCCAGTTCTAAATGAATGATAATGCACGAATGAACTTAAGACTAGACTGCGGGGAAACAAAATAATTATTTATTGTTTCTCCAGAGCATGTTCTTCAAATATTTTGTCCGCCGAAGACAACAAAAATTCCGAAAGCATGTGTTCTTTCATGCATTATGCATTTTTGCGAATGCTTAAACAGCACAGGCAGCCCAACTCATTCTTAATATTGCGTGACATTATTCATGTCGTCACGCATTTTTGAGACTTGAAGACAATTTGTGACATGGTGTGACGTGTATGTCTGTGCAATTTTTTTAGGTTCTTTTTGTCACGATCATGATGTACATCGTAGATCTGTTCAGTCCCTTTGGTCATCGAGCCGAGGCAACAGACACGGGCGAGGGGGCTGGTGATGAGTTCAATCTGTTCAATAGTCTTTGGTTCGCTACAGCGTCCATGTTACAGCAGGGAGGGGACAATACACCCAAGTCTCCCTCTGGTAGGATCCTTGCAGCTGCATTCTGGTTTTTCATTCTTATTATAATCTCTACATACACGGCCAACCTTGCTGCTTTTTTTACAAGTAAGTACATTTATTACTTTTAACATGATATAATGCTCATTGTTCTCAAGTTATTCATTATTTCTTCAGTCAAACACTCCAAGAAAACCATCAACTCTCTGGATGATCTCGCCAACCAAGACAAAATTAAATATGGCGTGCTCAAGGGTGGTGCCATTGATACTTTCTTCGAGGATTCCCAGTTACCTCTCTACCGTAAAATGTATTCACAAATGAGACAGAAGAATTCTTACGCACCAAGTACCAGCACAGGAGTAGAGTGGGCAAGAAAAGGAGGTTATGCATACCTGACTGAGCAGCCGTATCTCGATTATTACAATATGAGGAAGCCATGTAATACTACCTTACTCAATAACTTAATCTCGTATAAAAGTTACGGGTTTGGTCTGCAAAGGAATTCGCCTTATGTGAATGAACTGTCTGTGGCGATTCTTAAGGTATAAAGCTGTTAGTTATTTGAATGGGTATCTTTTTCAGGCTTTTATTTACTCATGTATATGTCTGACTGTCTGTCCATCGTTTGTTTGTCCTTTGGACGTCTGCTGTTTGCTTTAGTGATTTCATGGATATTTTTCCTATCAATAGCTTCGAGAAAATGGTTTCATCGACAGTATCAAGTACAAGTGGTGGGATGAAAGAAGTCAGTGCGTAGTCGAACCTAAGTCTGCTACAGGACAAACAGCCAGCCTTGGAATTCAGAACATGGCGGGTGTATTCATTATTCTTCTTGGTGGAGTTGCACTTTCCTTCTTTCTCATCATAATTGAGATCAAGTGTAAACGACTAGTAGACTTACTCACAAAAACAGGACAGGTAAGTACGAACTACTCACCACGCATGCTCTACGCATCATCCCACATGGATCAGTAAACGGAAGATCTCCAAGTTCAGTCTTCCTCGTACAACTTTGACTGATGGGGACTGGGTACCAGTGCGTTATGAGAATAGATTTCAATGCTTAATTAAACCTGACCAAATAAGATGCTGCATGATAAAACTATTAATATTAGCTTATGATAAGAGTGCAGTATAATGTTGTAAAGACATCATAGCTAATATCAATTAACAATGCTAATAATACCCGAACTTTAAAAATGATCTATGCTAATATTGATTCTAACTAAATCAAAGTACACTTTAAGTAATGCATCCAAAGAGACTGCAATTAATAGGTGTTGCGGTACCGGGAACAAAGAAATTAACACCGACCAATCGGCAAACTTTGATACGAAGACGGTACCCAGTCCTTCCCCATGTGAATACCACTAAAAACACACTTTGGTCAGGTTTAAGGCTGAAATCTATTCTTGTATACCAAAGGGGAAAAGCCGAGAAACGATCGATAGGTCACAAGAAATGAATTCTTCTGAGAGCTTGAAAGACCCCCATGTGACTGGTGATCAAATTCCAGTCCGGGTAGTGATATCCCAGGGACCAAAGGAACTTAAACCGGTGGTACTCCAGGAACATCCTGCGCCACCCCCTGCAGAGGACACTTCAAGCTGGAGAGCGTGGTTCAAGGGCTGGTATCAATGAGGTCTGAAAGAGGATCAAATAGTTGATCTCCAGATCTTTAACTATTATTTCATGAAATCGAGTCATGTATGAGTTGATAGTCAATTACAGGGCGTTAAACATGTACAAAAAAATTGACGATGGAATCATTGTATTATCATGTTAAAACCAATGGATTGAAACACAGCTATTCGACTTCACCTCAGATTGACTGATTTTTCGTATGCAAATAAGTAGAGTCAAGACCGAACTGCATGCCGGTTGACCATGGCCCTTTAAACTATATTCTTGTATTTAGATCCTCCTCGCTCCGATCGGAAACTCTGTAAACGTAATCATCTTGCGTGAAAGCTTCCATTCCGCAATCTTCATTCGCCTTCGTTCACTCACTCGGTTGAAATAGTAATATGACCTCAATTACTTGATTCACTGTCAAACGATTTATTCATAGACTAATTAATAGTTGTGTGTACATCCACATTTCATGTTTTACTTCAATTCAGACTATTGATTTCTATTCTCTACTTATCAAAACGTTTTCTCGCTTAATAGTGCTCCAAAAAGGACACCGATTCGTACGAAGTGAATTCTTCTGAAAACCACGTTGAATTTCATCCTTTTATGTCTATCAATCGACCTACAACGCTGAACCTACCTGAATGTTATGCTAATGTCCAAGAAAGTAAGCTATAGCTATTGTCACCATTGCTGGTTTCTCACCAATCAAAGACGTGACATTCGAGTCTGTGCTGATAGAAGACTTGTAGTTGTCATAGAGATGCCTACCATTAGGAGCATAATGGAGAAACATTGAAAACAAAGAGTAAGCATTCAATGGACTGAAGACTTGGTGTGGACTTTTGGTTTCAAAGCCGGTAGGCCGGTTATTGAGTTTGATTTGAAATTCCATGGAACATTCTTCTCAGTGGGATTAGAACAATGGCACTGAAAACAAAAAGGACAACCTTGTTTGAAAAAGAAATAACTACGATAACGACAAGGATATTTTCATTGTTTTCAGGCGGAATAGGTTGCATATATAGACATTGGATTGTCTACGTACGGCTCACATATTAAGCATCAATTTGCATTTATAAAGCAATTAAAAGTAAAATAATTAATTAATCAGCTGATAAACTTATTCAAGTCAGTGCTCTAAAAGTAATTTACGACAAATTTCATACCCAGGTTCACTGACCACGAACACGGCATTGAACCGAGGCGTCAAGGTGCACTAAAAGAAAAGATGTGTGTACCTTGTTCCTTTATGACTCGGTTCAGTGTTTTGTTCGTTGTGACTGAGCCTGAGTATGGAAAGAGGTAGACAAAGATCGAAAACTGGCTGACGCTTCGGGTGTGACCTCTCGTCGAAATGAAGCTGAGCCGAGACGGATGGCGAACTTTTTCAATCCTTTAGTGTATAATTCCTGCTTTGAATCCTGTTTCCTCAGGAATACCGACGCAGTTCATAAAGTAAAGCTGTAAGTAAAGTAAGGTGTAAAGCTAATTAGTATTATTTAGTAATAATAATCAACTTGTAGTTATTTAGCATTAGGTATACAATAACGTAACGACATACTGTATCATTAAAAAAAGAGCAAATGATAATAAACAAAATCCACTTCGTGGAACATACCGTGTCCAGGTTTACTAATATATATTTTTACCAGCGCCGCGATCGATTTGATAGATTTTGTGTATGATCTTTTCACATCATTTTTATCGTTGCAGCGAAAATTTAGCAATTATATTGCATTCGCATTATCCTCAGAGAATTTATAAGATGAAAGTTTGCCTAGAACACTTATATTTCAGCTAAAAAAAGAAAGATTGGAAAAAAGGAGAATTTTTCAGAAATGCTCGAGTCGAGGATCGAACCTTGGAACTCTGGATTATGGGCCCCTTGGAATTGCTAAACTGCGTCTGGGAAAAAAAATAAAGTCGCTGAATTTTATAACCGTGCCGCAGGCCTTTGGCCTAGACACGGTAATTAATAAGTCTGAAGTTGAATATTGAATATTTAGAGTATTTGAGATGCACGACGAGGAAATACGCACCTATTTCTGCCTCTCACTGGATTGAAAGGAGACAGGTATATGCTTGCCGAAATTATTGAATTTAGTGAGCCACAACTGAAATAAACCCCTTCCTTTGATGACGCTTATCGATTTTATTTGTTTAATAATGCAACAAAAGACACTAAATTCACTTCTGCGCTAGTATGAGATCACAGAACTCTCTTTTACTGTCATTGCCAAAAATGCATGCGCCATATATTCATGTGAATGCTAACAAATTCATCACACATTCACACACCAGTTGCACCACATTGAGAAATTCCAGAAATGTAAGTTATCTATTTCAATTGTCTATACAAGAACCACTTCGCGGAACATGTTTTCAGTTTTGCCGTGCAATAAATATTTTTAACAGATTTTGAGTAGTGATCTTTTCACATCACATTGGGAATATTTTTATCACTGCAGCGAAAAGTTAGCAGAGAATTTATAAGATGAAAGTTTGCTTTGCATTTTAGAAAGAAAAAAGAACGAATATATTTTAAAGTTAAAGAAAGAAAGAAAAAAAATGTTTCGAAGCTGCTCGAGTCGAGATTCGAACCCGCGATCCTCTGTTCGACGCCGCTGTTCGAGTATCATCTTCTTTCTAAAATTTAACTAACGAATAGTCTCCTTCACGGTTACCTTCGCCATCTTGAAAGGTAGCCGTGCCTTTGCATCGAAGCGAGACAACCGTTGAGCGTGCAATGATAGATACCTGTGAATAATTGTCTGTAGGTGTGAAAGATAAAAATCTAACATGACTAGAACACCTATATTTCAGTCGACATGGAAAAAAATAAAAAAAAATAAAGTCGCTGCATTCTATAACCGTACCGCAGAATAAAAACATCAAATAGAATAAAATTAAAAAAAATCTACGTACAGAAATATTTAGAGTGGAACATCGGCTAAAATGTTAAAGTATACTCGCTAAAAAACTTGATAAGTTGCTGTTTTAGAAATGTCCTTTTATATACTAAGTCAATAATTGCCTATAGCTTTGTAGATACATTAGCTGCATGATATAATAAGTTTCCGATGAGTAAACCTGTCTTTGTTGGTCTGAGGTTTCTGTCGAAATGCTAGAAATGCAATCATGTTGAGTTACAAATGTCCAGAGGCCCGCCACAATATTCAAAAATAACTTTGTAAAGGTCCAATAGGCCAAACTGAAGACAAAATAGTATGAGTAATATTTGAGTGATATGGTTATTGTGGCAGTTCTATAAATCTTACTCGATTTCCCATCATGCTTTGTTCGCGATTTCCCATCATGCTTTGTTCGCGATTTCCCATCATGCTTTGTTCTACAGAAAATGACGACGTGGCAAGCCGTTCAAATTCCAAATTATATCATTTGTGAATTGAAACGAAGTTCACGTACACGATATTGTCATTGAATGTTTGTATTCTCAAAGGGGCAGAGGAGCCCGAAATCTAAAGGAATGTCGATCTCGATAGGCTCCGAGTGTTTCGTTACGAGTGAGTTTTGGAATCCGGTTATCACAGAATGCTCTTCTAGAACACCCTGTGATCGAACATATTATTAATGTCCCATGACCTCTTTCCGCCAACCTACTCGAAGTGGTTTTTACTCTCATGTTATGCGATAAATCACTAATTATATTTACATGTTTTATATGTGCGGAGGTGGGATTTGCGTCAAACTGTACAGTAAGCTCGGGCATCCCGGCAAAGGTCAGTACACAACAGGCAGCCCAGCTACGTGGTCAATGACGTAACAAGAACTAATCTATGATTGGTTAGTTTTTGACCAATAGTGTCCTTCGTTGCTAATTTTTGCGTAACTTTTGGTTTTGAGCTGCAGTAGTGTTATTTCTGCGAGAGAATTCAATTTTATACACTTCTACGTCCTTGATATCAGTACAATTAAAATATGCTCAAAGTTTATTATTATTATTTAGTTAATATAACTAAAACATTGACTTTTGACTGACTGACGTTATATGTCGTGGCAAAAAAAAAAATTGAATTCGCTTCTTAATGGGTATCACGCAAACGCGTATAATTCAACCTTTTTACAAATTCACCTGGCAAAATGCGTATCGAAAGTTGTTATTTTCACTTGTAAAGTGGTGAAACCACCTCGCGCAGTAGGTGGAATGAAATAGTAACTCTAGCGCTTACTTCAATGAACTTGACTCACAGTTATTCGTTACATGACTGAGCACAATTAGCTGAATTTCGTTTGCCACTTAATTTGTCGTCGAACCTTTGTGCAAATTTAATCACAATATGATAAAATATTGATAATTGACAAAATGAGCCATTTTACTTATTTATGTCTGCCTTGATCACAAACTGTAGCCTTCAGATTGCAATCAGAACGAAAAATAAACTTTACTACCTTTATATCATCATATTTTCCACTTAGAATTAGAGATACCAACTTTCTCGTATTTTATATGTCTGTGAGTTCTAAATCTTTGAATTTGTATGATTTTCTTTTCAATTTAGTTCATTTTCAGGCCCAGTTTTCCTTAATTCTGAGCATTCTACGTGCGTTGATTAGTGCAAGCTTGATAGGCCGCAAACCATTACGATTGGTCAATTCAGAGAGATCAGCCTGATGAAAAATGATGATCTGATGCCGAGGAATGTAAATTTTTCAAAGATGCTCATCGCTACATGTTAAGCTTTGTGGGACTCAATTTCATGAAAAACTAGCCACATTTAGGTTTAATTCCTCAATTTTCACCTCCTGAAAGATTTCTCTAGTTGGTTCTCAGCGCACAAGAGTAGAAGACTGAAGTAATGGCGTTGGGAGTGTGTTTTATTCCAGTGGTGTGGTTTTCCATTTTATTGACTTGTGTTCAGTCTTCACTCAAGTCCAAAGGAGATTGGCAGCCCATTATAGGTCAGTGTTGAACTTGATGACATATTTTAATCGTATATTAAACTTAAACAAGGATTGCTGTAATGAAATTATTTCTGTCATTTTTGGAAATAAATTGTGGATTTTTGAATGGCACAAAATCAGTTCTGACAGTTGAGGTGTTGTCTTGCAAATAAAATCATCGAGAACCATGAAATCATATGATAACAAGCTTCAAAGAAGATATGATGTGATTGAATGAGTTTTGAATTTTGATTTTGTGCGTTCATTTAGTATTTCCAAACAAAAACTACTTTTTATTTCTTAAGATTTAGCTCAGTACCTTTGAAAATATATCTATTTTATATCCCATATTTTTCTATCATATACAACGATATCTTGTTCAAGATCTGCAAACATTGATAAAGCAAGCTGCTTGACAATCATAACTTCTTTTCGAAACTCAAGATTTCTCAAAAATAAGATTTTCAAAATATATAACAATGAAAAAGAGACCGACTTTATAATACAATTAAAATTTCCAGTGTTTAAATGATGTTGCGCGATGATAATTTAGTAGTTTTTTTTGTGCGTCAAAATCAAGTTAAAATCAGTAAATTCACTACTTCGAAGTCAGTTGTTAAGACTAGAAATGGCAAAAGGTTTTCTATTTTTACTGCAAAGCCTAAAATAATGTTTGTATATGATCTTGTAAGTTTACTCACTCAACAGTTAAAACATTTCACATAAAATATATAGTCATAAAGCAGAAAGCAGCAGATCTAGAGAGAGGGAAAAAACAACATTTGGGGGGAATAATTCTTTGATTATTTTTAAAACCAATGAAAAAAAAAAATGAATTTCACTTCATTTTGACACCTGGCCGCCATTTTTCTTTTCAACTCTTCAAGCGCGAGTTTTTCTCACATTAATTGTGGTTATGGAAAGCTGAACTTGATTTAATATATCTCAATTTCATCAGTTCGTCGTACTTCAAAATGAAAACTATTTCTTTACAAAATATCGGCTTTTCATGAAAATTACTTTTAAGTATTTTTGGCTTGCACATTACGTCAGTCTTCGCCACCATATTGGATTCAGTCTTCTCTGGGGGAGATTCTTGTAGTTGCTCACAAAAATAATAAAAGTCGATGAACAATGAAAATTGCGGGCAGTAAATATCATGTCAAGTCTCATGTCAAGCTATATCTGTGTAAGTCTAAATTCAAAGATATTTATCCCCAAATTAAACCAGGATTTTTTCATTATTTATATTATGTTTTCAGGAAGTCCTGCAATTCTGTGTACTGCATATTATTTGGACTATAACTGATACAATTCATCTTTTCATGACTTCTTTTCTCTCTTTTCTTTCCATTTTGTTTTTCTTTTTTTTTCATTTTCTTCTCTCAACGTTTGTTATTCACAGGTGTTCTTTACCATCCCCACGACGAGCCTTTGTATGAATCGCTCAGGCAAACCATCAATCGTATAAACAAACAAAATACATTACCTGTAGCAAGGCTAACCACGATAAGCTTTAAGACCCACAGTGACAAGATCCTTGGTTATGGTGAGTGATTATTAAGCCTAGAGCAGTTCTACTCTCATAGAGCAAATGTAAAACAAACTAGAAACAAACACAGATAAAGGTACCATGATAGAGGCAAGCGAGGAGCACGTCTCAGCAAAAGTTTTACAGATCAGTTAATATCTCTAGGACAAGTACACATAAAGTGTAATACGTTTGACTCCTATATTTTCTTTGATCTCAGGATTTTGATCTCGGTACGCTATTGAAACGTGCTCTTATTTAATGTTTCTACAAAAACGTACTGGAGAAAAGCCGCGAATGCACAAACGAAAGTTATTGAATATTATTTATTGCAACTTGTATCAATATCTATCAACCAAAGGCAGGGAATACCAGATTTTTCATTAGTGAATGTATCCAATGATAGTTTATTCGAATTGATCGAGTATTCGAGCAAATCAGTGATTGTAATCGCAAACGATTGATGACTATTCTATTTTTGGAAACATTTTCCATCAGCCGGCCATGTATTCTAACTTGCATAGATCGTGGAATCGCACCGTGAGGTGAACACTGTACATGATATCCAATATATGGATCTGAGCCGGGCTCGTCATGGAAAGGAGCCCAAAAAGGGGGGGGGGGGGGGGAAAGGGGGTAGGAAGGGGTGCGTGCACATACCTTTGTGTCTGCTTCACATGCTTCAATTTTTTATGTTTTCAGATGCAGCCAAGAAGCTCAAGAAAAGCACGTTTATTTTCGACCTGTCGTTCAACAACCAGTACTCGTATGCACTGGCAGAATTGCTACAAACACCTATGATAACACTGGAAACCATGCATGATAACATAAGGAATTACTTTATCTTTTCTTTGCGACCATCAGAGGAAACGGTGGCCAGAGCAACTGTAGATCTAGTACAGTACTACATGAAGTTCAATGCTCAAGTCGCAATTTTGGTGGACGGTAAGTCGAATTATTTTTCTCAGTTTCAACTTTTAGATCAGGTTCTCAGGGTTGCCTGTCTTCATTCCGTTGGTTTTGTGTTCTATTTTTTTACAATACATTTATTTTGATTTAAAATATTCACATTACATGATTTACAATTTCCTTTTTTTCTCATGTGCGTCTATTATTCCTTTTGAAGCTGTTAAAAAAAGACTTGATTCAATTGTTATTGTTCGTCAATTAGCCTGAGTATCTGAGGCTCTCTCGAAGGGGATTGGGCCCATCCCCGTCGAGAGAGACTGATAGACCGGACTTGTTCTTTTTTAGTAATTGTATGTTTGAAATATATCCATCGCTACATACACTTGTACATTATATAGCAGCTTAAAAAATGTTGTACAATTAAAAATTATTGCAAGTTTGTGTAAAGATATACTGGATTCTGACCTATAATTTATATTGCTCTGAGTTTAAGGCTCAATTGCTCTATTATTTAGAAAGAGATAAAAACCAACGAAATTGCAATGAACCAATTAACTTAGTGTGGGTTCGAATCATAGTTACATATGATCACTGTTGTTCGCTGTTTTTTCAGCCAAGATGTCTCACCTTGGAGCACGTATCTTCTCTATTGCTCGTTATCGTAATCGCATTAGACCAATCATGATGCCAGAAGCCAACACAAAGAATGAAATAGAAACACAACGAGCTTTGTCAGTTTTACTTCGAACCAACAGCAGGAATGTTATACTGGTATGCAAGGCAGAAGACACTCGGCAATTCATTGAAAGGGTAAGATTTACATGATTTATAGTTCTCGCCTTGAATCGTGTTTCGTTGTTGGCTGTACGCTGGCACTTTGTTCTCGAAAGAAGCTTGAAGGGAAAATAGTTGTAAAATATCCTCAGTCGGTAACTGGAGCGCTTGATTTACGGCTGGAGATGCAAACTAATTCACGTCCTAGAGATTTTGCTGATACTTGCAGCCTTGGCTTAAAATAAGCTTTCAATACTTTTTGTTTTGCAGGCTATGAGAAATGGTTGCGTGTTTTCGGACTCAAAGTGGTTTGTCGTTGATTTGGTAAGTGTATCTCGTGAGGAGATGTGCGCATCCTCTGGACGCACCAGTTAGATCAAACATTTCCGTAGCTTTCAACTACTAGTGCGCAGGTCGCAAGCAGAGCTCCCGGCACAACTCCGCAACACAGTTTAATATGGAAATGGAGTGTTGTTCTTTTGCAAATCATGCTTAAAAAGACAATATAAGCTAGCGAACCCTTCTATCAGAAAACACCAATCAAAATAAAGGCCGATTTAGACGACACAACTTTACCCTACAACTATCGCATGCGAACTGCGTAAGTCATCCTTACGACATGGTTACAACTGTCGTGAGGCTATTAAGCAATTGTTTAAAATCCCTACGACAGCTGTAGCCATGTCGTAAGGGTGACTTACGCAGGTTGCATGCGATGGTTGTAAGGACTGTAAGCAAAAGTACATACACACGATCACACACTCGCGACATAGACGTTTGGAGTAACAAATAAAACAAACCCACAAAAATAGGAATAGAAATAGATAAAACGATACATCTTATTAGATATATGGGAACAACTGTTGGTAGAAAAATTCAAACTGAATGTAAATGTATTGCAGGAATTAACGGGCAATATCTCCGCGTTAGCTTATCGCGGTCTGTTAGGACTTCGTCTTTACTATAACAACCAACACAAACTCAAACGTGATGCAGAGAAAAGTAGAAATGGACGCGCAAAGAAGATATCAATGGTAAGATATTGATAAGTTGTTATCTCTCTTTGTTTATATTACCGTGTCCATGCAGAAGGTAAAAAATGTTCAGAATAAATGATGGGAAACTGAGATTATACGCACAAATCCATAAAACCAACCACGATGCTGATAAAGATATATTCCACGTCAAAATTCTATACACTTGACGTAACCTGGATTATCTTTGTCCCATAGTCTCGATATCAAGTCCTGTTTAATTTTCGTTTGTTTGTTGTATATTTTTCTACTATTTTTGCATCGACTTTTTATTTAGAAAAAAAAATGGTTTGTAATGTCAATATCAATATTTATAAAATTTTTGATATATAACGCGCGCTCTGATTGGCTGACGACCGTGTTTATATCAGAGGACAGAGACACGGCTTACCGGCAAAATTTTCTTGTCGCTCGAAAAAATTTTTTTCTTATTATAAAATTTTTGATATATAACGCGCGCTCTGATTGGCTGACGACCGTGTTTATATCAGAGGACAGAGACACGGCTTACCGGCAAAATTTTTATTTTCGCTCGAAAAATTTTATAAAAGAAATATAAAACGGCCGCTTGAAAAACACTCGAGAAGCAAGAGAAACACTCGCTACGCTCGTGTTCCTAAGCTTGCTTCTCTCGTGTTTTTCAAACTGTTTATATCAGAGGACAGAGACACGCGCGCCGTTTTATATTTCTTAAATATACGTTATAAGCTTGACAAAATCATATTGGCCTGTGTACATCCGTTTCTCAACACTCCCAAATAATCGGGAGAACCTCTCCCCAATTGTTTGGGAGGGGTGGAAAACGGATGTAAACAGGCTAAAATCAGTTATTTCTTGATGTCTCTAGGCGTCCTATGCAGTACTAAACGACTCTCTGTATGCAGTCAGTGAAGCTATAAGACAAACAAAACAAATCACTTTCGATAACAGAGGGAAAGACGACTGTCCCATCAAAGGTGCCATGGACGATAGAGGGCAAAGTAACTTCATTAACAGTCTTATGGGGGTATGACTAATTAAAGCCCTATTTCACTATGACGTCATGGAATGCTTATATAGGGGTCAGAATCGCTTGAGACGATAGGAATTCAATTTTTTTCTCTACAGGTTCGATTTGAGGGTCTCACTGGACCAGTTGAATTCGACCAAAAGACGCGAACTCGTAACGTTAAAATCATCGATGCTGTTAACGTACAAATCAAAGCTGGTTTTCCGCCTTCGTTCATGTATCCGGTATGTCTAGCTTCCTCACTTCTTTCTTCCTTCAGGCGTCCATCTTGATGCTATGTTGGTGTTATTGCCTCTATCTTGCCGTAAAATATGGCCAATGATCTTGCTCAATGGCTTGATACCTGTTTTGTTGTCATGACGTGATCTTTGCACTCTATTTTAAAGTTCCTTCTTGGACATCTTGTGGAAACACATCTCCTATAGCGCTTTGTTTGACTAAACGTCTTTGCGTATCAAAATATCGTTGCGCTCTGGTTCAAAGGGTATTGTCAATGTGAAACATACATTTTGAAGGAGAGTAATAATATAGCAAATGCGGTCAGATACTGCTGTTCGATGGTAAATACACTTTGTATGGAGTCGAGATTTAGCTGTTCTACAGCATCATCATTAGATTTTTCATCGATTTAAGAAAGAAAAGAAATGTCGTAAAAGACATCCAAACAATTAATCTAGTTATTAAGCTTAATTAATTAATGACATTTTTGAATATTGAATGGTCTTTAGATTGGTTATTGGAAGCCGAACGTTGACTCACCGATTGGATCTGTCGTACTGAAGACTAACGATGCTGTGTTCTGGAATGGTGATTACTGGGAGGAAATCAAGTGCAGTTTTACGTCCAATTCTCCGTCATTTATGACCAATGACTTTGTACGGCACCACAAACCTCTAATTGTTACATCCATTGTGGTAAGGCAGTCTGTTTCAGAGATTCCGTATAGAATAATTTATGATTAATTCTTGAATACGAGCATGACTGAATGAGTGATGAACTGACTAGTTTAAGAATCTAGTAGTTTGAGGTGCCCGATTTTGAATTAATTTGTATTTACGGACAGTAGCTACTAAAAAGATGAAAATATACGGGCTAAGGGATCAAAATTGTCATGATCTTGTGGTTAAGGATCACTGAGCCCAACTGGGATCGGTATCATTGAAAAAACTATATAGCTCGTTACTAGACTACCCCACTATTCCACCGTGTTGCCCAACTAAACAACTTGTATTATTTCTATGAAAACAGGATTCTCCATACATGATGCTGAAGAAAAACCATTCAGGTCTCACAGGAAACGACAGATATGAGGGTTTTGGTGTTGACATGATTTCAAAGCTGGCTGAAAAACTAAAATTTAAGTATGAAATCAAAATCAGCACTGAAACTTCTTACGGCGCTCCGATTGGTGGAGAATGGAAGGGTTTGGTTGGAGAACTTGTAGATCAGGTAAACATTTATACAAAGAAACGACTCAACAGTTCCCCAAAGGACGTCTGACGGACAATTACGACAAGCTGACAGACCGACTGGCAGACAGAGCGGACAGACATGCATAGATGGATAACGGATGGACAGATGGAGCAATCTACATGCAAAAAACCGGACGGAATTGACAGTTTCGAGTATCTTCAATAAAGTCCAGTGGCCTAGCTTTAACACCTTTAGGGTGACCCAATGAAATTCTGATAATATCAGTTTTGTTTGTTTATTTCAGAAAGCTGATATAGCACTGGGACCTATTACCATCACAGCAGAGAGAGAAGAAGTTATTGACTTTAGTAAACCTTTTCTTGATTTCCGCATTGCGATGATTCTAACCAAACCTGAAGGAGAAAACGTCAACTTGTTTGCTTTCTTGTTGCCATTCGAGGAACAGCTCTGGTTATGTGTATGCGCTGTGGTGAGTATAACGTCGCTTTGTATAATCACGTGATCGGCATTAGCTAACAATACACTATTACACTTTATAAGATTTTTGATAAATAACGCGCGCTCTGATTGTCTGACGACCGTGTTTATATCAGAGGACAGAGACAGGGCTTACCGGCAAAATTTGTTTTTCGCTCGAAAAATGCAAAAAAAAAAGTATAAAAGAACTATAAAACGGCCGCTTGCGTCTCTGTCCTCTGATATAAACACGGTGGGAGTTCAAAAGCACTAGAGAAGCAAGAGAAACATTCGCTACGCTCGTGTTTCTAAGCTTACTTGGTTCTATCGTGTTTTTTCAACTCCCACAGTGTTTCTACACGAGCGCTATTTTATACTTCTTAAATTTAGTACGATAGAGTTCAATCTTCAAATAGCTGTACATTCCATTCTTGTAGGTTGGTACGGTGACCATTATAATGTACGTTCTGGATCGTTTTAGTCCGTATGGATATAGAGCCGAGGCTAAAGATACCGGAGAAGGAGATGGAAATGAGTTCAGCATGTCAAATAGTCTTTGGTTCGCGACAGGATCTATTTTACAACAAGGTGCTGATACTACTCCTAAGGCTGGCTCAGGACGTGTCCTGGCTGCAGCGTTCTGGCTATTTACATTGATATTGATTTCAACTTATACAGCAAACCTGGCTGCATATTTTACAGGTATAAATTTATTCTGATTGAATACATAAAAGCAATAGAATATGCACTATCATTGGACAAAATGTCCTAGAAATGGCAATTTTCTAGAAAAGTCTGTAAATCGTCTGAAACTTGCAGACATTATAGAGAAAATACTTATTTGTTTCCATGAATGGCATAGATCCGTAAGTTAATCTCAAAACTAAAATTATAATTTAAAGCTTGAAGATTGTGGATCCTGCCCGAACAAGGAATTCGGTTGGAAAAGCAGTTTCAAGTTAGGGCACTTTGATGCGTTTTCGTATCGTTTTCATATATTATCCGTTGTCTTTGAAAACGGTGAACACGCACGTCATAAGTATACGAGGATTAATCAAAAGGCGAAAATAAAGCAATTGAGATCTTAACTGTATCGTTTTTTCCTTCCCACATATAGCTAAAAACGCGAAATCTACGATTAACTCACTCGAGGATCTGGTTAGCCAAGACAAAGTGAAATATGGCGTTCTTAACGGAGGATCTTTGTACACATTCTTTGAGAACTCAAAAGTCAGAACCTACAAAAAGATGTTTGCCAGGATGAAAACTTTGAATACATTCGTACCCAGTACAAAAGTCGGTGTGAACATTTCCAGACAGGGTAACTTTGCTTACCTCACAGATCAGCCATCATTGGATTATTATAATCAAAGAAAACCTTGTAATACAATGCTGGTCAAGAATCTACTGGACGCCAAGAGTTATGCTATAGGCCTGCAGAGGAACTCTGAATGGACAAACAAAATATCAGTCACTATTCTTGAGGTAAATATGCGGCACGATACCTCACGGAAACCATCTTTCAAATTCTTGCATCCTTCTGCTTCTGTTAGCAAACACTCTTCATCGTTTATAACAAATTATGCGCTTTATTTACTTATATTTAGCAATATGTTTTCTATCTGTCGAATTACGCCGTCGTCGATTTATCTTCATATCACAACTGCTTCATCATAAAGATTTTCCCGCCTAAAATGATAGCACGCGTCGTCTTTTCGTACGTACATATTCGCGCTCTTTATCAAAGCTTGAGAAAAACCTTTGTCACGCATGTTAAAAGTAAAGAATAAACTCTATCTTGTCTAATGGTATGTCGATGCATTGGAAATGCGTTTTCCTTTCAGCTATACGTAGCAGCGATTTTCCCGCCTAAAATGACAGCACGCACCGTCTTTGACGTACATTTTCGCGCTCTTTTTCACCCTTTTCTACTTTGTCAAGCATGTAAAAGGGAGAATAAGCTGTATCTTGTCTAATGGTATATTAATGTACTGGAAATACGTTTTTCTTTTCAGTTACGTGAGGAAGGAGAGATTGAAAAGATACGATTGCGATGGTGGGACGATCGAAGTGAATGTCCTGCATCTGATGCACCAAACACTGCACCATCACGATTGGCTCTTCACCATCTTGCCGGCGTGTTTATCATCCTTGGTGGTGGTGCAGCGATTTCGTTAGCTTTACTTCTTGTGGAAAATAGATGTCGAGATGTATTGAGTGGCAGAAGACAAACACAGGTAAGCCAAGTATTTGATTCTATAATTAAACATGCTGGATAATAAAATAATAGTTTAGATTTGTTGGAAACTATTAATCATGCAAATAGATGACGTTCATAGCATGCGAATTAATATAGTTTACGCACTTTGTCAAATCAATTGACAATAATATCAACAACAACAACAACAACATCAAAATTACCAGATTTCACAAGTGTTCACACGCTTTACCATGCGATTGCGATAAGTAGCATCATGCTTCTCTGAAATTACTACACTAAACACCCTATACCAACGTTTGTATTTTGTTGCCAAATTTCAAATTGTGGGCAATAATGAACATCTTGAAATTTTTGTGAACCTAAACAACTTGTGATGCATGATTTTTTTAGACTTACCTACTTAGATTTGAACTGTTTCAGGAGAAAAGAGAACATTGACCAATATTGTGAGATAATTTCAGTTGAAATCTTTTATTCTGACATAATTGATTCAGTCGTTGTATATCAATTCATTCCATCTTTTAAAACTTCTTATCTAACTKAAAGAATAGCCCGGTTTTTCACTTTTTGCCAGACTCCAGAAACTCCTCGGGATGACCCTGATGGCAGAACCCGTAACCCGCCAACAATCACACTTAATGGCGGGCCGACCCTCAAACCTCTAAACAACACCGAGCGAAGATCCAGGCAGGATAGTCCATCCAATAGACGAACGAGCTATGATGTCCGTATCCCGGATGTGTATGCAGCCGCGCCCGAAAGCAACCTCTGAACGAGGAAAACTGGGGATAACTTAGCCGTAGCTAGCCGTCAGAATTGCTTTATTGGTCGTGTTTCGACTTGACCCTACATGGGATTCATGGATCGATTATCGATTGGCCGATTGCCTGTCGATTAGCTGTACATACAGGTTTTCAAACATGACTTTCAGTTCGTTTAGCTGTCGGTATTGCTGCAATTTTTGTATGATTTATCGATTCATGATTGCCTGAGTCCACTATGTTGATCCGTGGACGAAACGTTTTGATAAACCGATTAATTACCAATCGAATGAAAGTTATGGCTGCTGTGTCTGCTGTCGCTTGACATTTGACGAGTGACTATCAATTGGAGGTCAACCAAAAGTTAGTTGAATAACTTGAATATAGACGGCCTCTTTGTGAATATTAGTTGTGCTTTTAAATGAAAATAATCCTTATGTTGCATGCATCAAATAATCAATAAAATATTTAAATAAATACAACAATATTAAACAATAAAACAATAAAAATGCATAGTGTCCACTTTGGCATAGAAAGCATTGCAATCAGGCAAGAGTAATAAATGAAGACATGAAATAAGTGAAGAGGGAACTCAAATGAACATAAATGAAGAGGGAACTCAACTGATTAATCGAACCCCCCTCCCCTCCCCCCCTCCAAAAAAAATTACTCCTGCTTGATATATCATGAGATGCCGTATAAAAAGCCATAAGCGCGCTTGAATATAACAAAAATAACTATCATAAATAACTATCATAAAGTCTGATGAGGTGAACATCAATGAATCTAAACGTGAAGCATTGTCCACATCGATCGTGTAGGCAATCGCTAAAAAGTCTCAAAGTATTTGTTAATATATTTTATAAGTGTAAGTCCAAAACAAATAAATTATCTGGCGTAATAACTATACTCAATGGAGAAAAAGCAACAGCAAGCTAAGCAAGAAAACGCATAAACGTAGAAACGCTTCTTGTGAAACTGCGAAACACTGAGACATCATGGATGATTTCTAAAATGTCAATTAATTGTCAAATCTCATCCACAAGGACAATAATCATCGGTGTTTGGCAATTCTTATTTGCCACACACAACCAATAGGTTGGTTTTCCAGCAAATAGAGCAGTTGTCACATAGAACTTGGGAGATTTAACCGCTGTGATACTGTGTATAAGGTGCGCACACCCTTAATTTAGACCAACGTAATTTTTTTTATCTCATCGTACTGTAAACAAATCTATGTAGATGCTGCATGTAAGTTCTTTAAAGATCAATAAAAAATGGTTGCGATGGTACTATTATATCTTTTTTTAGCAAGTAAGCGTTTAAAAAAAGTTATTCATGAGAGGGGGATTGAACCTACGTGTAAAAGTACCGGGGAAGTCTTGAAAAAAGGGCGGGGCTGAATGATTTTTAACCTTTAAGAGATTGCACAGCAATATTAAATCAGTACCAAGGCTATACGCTCTTTCTTTTCTTTTCTGACACCAAGAGATTGCAGAAAATGCAAAATCCCAGAAACTGCAAATTGGCACCTTAAAAGCGAGAATCCGGGGGGTGGGGGGTGGGATCTTTACAGATCCATCTTTATAACTGTGCTTGCAGCAGCACCAAGTGCATTCATGCCTGTGGTAAGGCATGTATACAAATGAGAGCACTGAAATAATTAGACATTTAGATATAGCAAAGTCAACAAGTCTACAAGCACTGCAGAAAGACATTTAGACATAGGTTAAAATCAAGCCGCCAATGGCAACACAACTCGAAGATTGATTGTGCAGACGAATACAGAAAGATATAATGATGAATCAAATTATAATTACTTAATGAATAGAATTTTAAATAAACGATTTATTAATATAGTTTTATAATTTAACTTCGGTTCTGGATAAACACAAGCGAGCGCCGGTGAGATGAATACCACTCGAGCTACAACTATGAGTAAATGGTGCCACGACCAGAAGCGCTACATCTGGATCCGAAAAACAAATAAAATCACCGCAAGTGTCAAAAAACAATAACAACTAAATCCCTGAGAAAACTTGGAGTTCAATTATTAAGCAAACAATATAAATTTCAAGATGTAACATTGACTAATATTTCTCATGTTGGTAGGCGAAAAAAAATTGAATGAGTTTGCCAAATAAAATTTATTCGCAAGGAAAACCAGAATATCAAACAAAATCAAAGCAAAGGTGAAGCAAATCGACGAATACTAGTGATCACATGATCACGTGGGCTTCCAACATCAAGAGCTTAAAGTTACATTATGGCTTCATTTCTCCACATTCATTACTGATGAAATTACCCAAAAACTACTAAGTTTGACTTTTGTTTTAGCCACAAATATGTAAAATTTGCGATCTTTGGGTAAATGCTGCCACGTGTAGTAGCGCTACATCTGACAGCGAAAGACGCAAAAAAATCACCGCAAGTGTCAAAAAGCAATATCCCATGTACCATGAAACAGTCAAATAGTAAAGATATGAATATGAATATGAAGACCGCATGGCACTATGATAAACCCGATATAGAAATGAAAGCACTTAAGCACTATAACTTTCTTTCATTTCTATATCCAGTCAAATAGTACCCGCTTTAACAAGGCTAATTGTAGGGACAATTTCGTAAAATATCTTAATATGTCGGAGAGAGAAATTTGTGTTTTTTGGTACATTTATGTTCAAACCTTCGTTCAAACCTAGATAACAAAGAAACTGTCCAAGTAAGTCCGCAATGAAATTTTGGATTTGTATCTAGAATCAACAGATGTGCTACAGCCTGTAACACATGCCTCTATTATGCAAAAAACACTTTCAAATTGAATTCAGATAGTCTTTGAATGTTGATGTATAAGGAGTGCAAGAATATTAACTTGATTTTAGAGTATGTCAAACAACTGTTATCCCTCCTTTGACGCACAGAACACACAAGATTTGGTTGAGGAAAACTAGTTTCGTCTTTACTAGAGCTTTTCAACTTTTTCAATTCCTCGATCTACAACTGTTGTGAATTGAAAAGGTTTAGTAAAGTCGAAACTAGTTTTCCTCAACCAAGTCTTTTGTGTTCTGTGCGTCAAAGGAGGGATATATAAGTATTTTAACATCCTCTAAAATGAAATATCAAGAAATATTAACTTGGGTTCTCGATAAGCACGTGCAAACACCTTCGTACAATCATTTCAAAACGACGAATTTGGAGGATCGTCTTCTTTGCTTGCTTCAACCTCTGTTACTGAACGGTAAGACGAATCAAATTATRATTTACTTTACAAATGGAATTTTAATGTGAACGATTTATGAATACAGTTTTTTTTTCGCTAAAACTAATTATTTTTAACTTTGATTCTTGACAACCAGGAGCGAGCACCTGCACTTCACAGACAAGTCTAACCACAATTATACGCGTGGCCGAATGGAAGTGCCTTCGATTTCTTAGACCCGTCTACACGAGCAAGTTTTTATGTGACAACTATATGTGACATTTTTTCTGTCCGTGTTGACAGGCAGCCAGAAATTATTGTTGAAGACTCGCGCCAACTGTGATTTTGCACAGCGGAGATGTCATAAACAAAATTACCATAGTTTCGTAGTAGCACTAGAGATAATAAAACTTTAAAAAATACGATATATTTTTAAATATTTTTTTATATATATTTTTAAATATATTTTTAGATATATTTTTATTTTTATATTTTTATATGTTTCAGAAGAATGAGGATGGCATAATGT